CCTTGTTGCCTTGTCCAGTTGCTCCGCCTCACCGTTCTGCTTAGTCGCTCTGCTTTTCCGCTCCGTTAGTCACTCTGCCTCTGCCGCTTCGTGACATTTAGCTCAGTCTCGATACAAGGAACAAGCTGACAGGAAAAGAATCTCGCATCCGGAGTTCCCGATCGGCTCCGAAGTCTTTGTTCTTGCTAAGCACATTCGCTCTACTCGTCCTACTGAAAAATTCTCTGAAAAATATCTTGGTCCTTTCAAGGTCGTCAGTCGACCTGGCACTTTGTCTTATGAACTCAAGCTCCCGGACTACCTTCGCTGAATTCACCCGGTTTTCCACGTCTCACAGCTGGAGCCGGTTACGCCGAACCCTTTTCCGAATCGAACTCAATCTCCTCCACCTCCAATTGAAGTTGATGGTGAAGAAGAGTACAACGTTGCAGAAATTCTGGACTCTAAGCTGGACAGAAGGTATAAATGTTGTCCCCTACGTTATTACATTCGGTGGGCCGGTTACGAAGGTACCGACGATGAGTTTTCTTGGGTTGCTGCTGATGAATTACACGCTGACGAACTTGTACTGGCATTCCACGCCCAATACCCTCATAAGCCTGGACCTTGACCACAAAAACATCCTATTCCTTTCCCCCGTTTTTCGCCATGCTCCGCCGAAGTTCACTTCGTGTGTTTAGAGGGTAAACACGATGATAGCAAATTGAGTGTTTACTTCTCTCTCTTATTTGCTTATTATAGTTTCTTTAATTACAGTGTTCATTTAGCGTTCATTCACACTTATACTACTTATGCTAAACTAATTACTTCTTACGCCGCCTCGTGGCCCATTCGCTTTCCGATTTCTAAATTGCGTTGACATTTTTTTATATACAAAGTCAAAAAAATTAAACAGGAGCAGGGCTACAAGAAGAATACAAGAAGTGGGCCGAAGGCCGATGTCCGATGTCCATGGTACTACTCTACTACTACCACCTCCTTCTCCTTTCCCTTCTCAGAGGGCGCCGTCTTCGCCTTCTTTGGCGCCGGCGCCTCCTCTTCTTTCTCTCCCTCCTCCATCTCCTCTTCTCCTTCTCCATCCCTTTCTTCTTCTTCTTCTTCTTCTTCTTCTTCTTCGCTATTCTCCACGATTCTTCTCCTCTTCAGATTCCTCGGCCGTTCGGAGACCGATCTCGACGGTCCTGGTACCGCCGCTCCCCTCATCGCGTCCCTAGTGTCAATAGCGATGAGCCGGGCATGGTCTTCATCCTGCCGCCGCAGGAGCTGTCGCAGGTATTGATGTGACCTTGAGGTGGCTTCCCTCAAGGCCCGGTTGTCGGCCATCAATTGAGCCAACTGGCTCTCCATTACGGCCATGCGCTCGCCGCCCGGTCCTCCTTCCCGCTTCACTTGTACCGGACGGCCCGAATACGAACACTTGACCTTTGCATCGTGACATGGCTTGCATATCACGGTGCTACGTTTGCCCACCTGTTCCAGGCAGGGGATTTTCTTTTGTTGACACTGTTCGCACGGCGCCCGCTCTTCGTCGTCTTCATCATCATCATCTCCGCCGTCCCCGCCGTCGTCCGGATCTCCGCCGCTAGCCTAAAAAACTTAGAGTTAGTAAGTTTGGTAATAAGATAGAGGTATCACTCACCTCCATCCTCTGTTTACCCTTACTCTTCTTGATCACTCGAGGAATCTCTACTTCCACTCGACGAGCGGAAGTAGATGCTTCCCCTGGGGAAAGGCCCCGGCGGTTTCGCGCTGCCGCGGCTGCCGCAATCCTCCTTCTCTTCTCCGCTGCCTCTTCCTCCAATCTTCTGGCATTGGCGGCCCGCTCGGCGACCTCCTGCCTCTGCCTCTCCTCCTCTGCTTTCTGTCTAGCTTCTTCTTCCGCCTTCCTTTTTTCCTCCTTCCTCTTCCGGTTCTTCTCCCTGGTGAGTTGCAATTGGAGCTCGAGCTCCCGTTCCTCGTCAGAGGGATCCGGCGTTGAAGGGCGAGTTGGGGCCGGGGGCGAAGTTGGATGGGCGCCGGTGACCGGAATCGAGCCGACGGTAGTGGTGGTTCTGGTGGTGGTGCGACTAGAGGACATGTGTAGACTTGGAGTTTTGGGAGCTTGGCCATAGCGGCAAAACCTGGCCCTTTTTTATAGGGTCAAAACTGCGCACGGACCAGCAAGAAATTTTCTTCGAGTTGTACTCGGTTTACGGTGTACCAAAAATTTTCTTGGATGACTAACGATAATCCCCGGCACCAACGGCTTTTGAAAATTTTTCTGCTTACTGATAGGCCAAATTCCCGAGGCTGACGGTCTTTAAAATTTTTTCTTGGTGACAAATCAACTCCCGGTATTGATGGCTTTCGAGGGCTCAAGCCTAAGAGGGGGATACTGTCAAGCCCATGCCTCGGGCCTCCATTCCGCCGCTCGGTATCCCGAAGATCTACCTTTTATTGTAATCTCTCCTTATTGTTCTTTCTCGCTACACATACCCATTCACTCTAGCTCCTTCTTATTGTCTTTTACTTTACCCTGCAGGACTACACGTATAACTCCTAGTAGTTAGTCTGGCGCTCTGCCCCGCTGCGCCGCTCCGTAGATATAAATACTGCTTGTACGCTACTGTAGTTCCTCAGTTTAATTATCGACTTAGATCGACTTAGATTCCCTCCTTAACCCTGTGCTCCTCTAAGTCTTCAGGCTCTCCGCCTTGAAGTACTCTCTACGCTACCTTAGGACTAGACGTCCTCTGGCTCGCTCCTCGTCACCAGCGATACCGCCGCTCCGACTTGGCTGCTTCTCAGTTCCTCCCTTCTCTACTCTCGATCTCCGGGGACTAACGGCGTAACGGCGGTGTTGTTAATAACTTCACTACTGTCCCACTCGTCTTCCGCACTTAGACACCTTGTGGCTTTGGCACGGTTACACGGTGTACATGATCTTAACACAGCTGTCACTCGTTCTCAAACCCAAAATGATGAATTCGAAGAGGACCCTCTGGAGGATGATCATACAACTCCGTTTTACCCCTATGGAACAGATCCTTATTGCTTATTCGATGTAACGGATGCGGAATTGGAAGCAGGTAACTACCGATTGACCCAAGGAGTTAAATTAAACCCAATGTTGCTTCAAGCTCTCGGGATGGTTTTGAGAAACCACGAAGACATCCGTTCTAGAATGCAAAGAGTGGATTGGTTTGATGTCTGACGGTCCGGACGTGAAGCCGTAATTATGGCGCATCGGTGCTTTCAGTCGCTCCAGAGTCCAAACTCTTGTGTATTTCTTTTTGCTACTTTGACCAAACCTTAGACGATTATGGCGACTCTTGGCCATCCTATATTATAAAAGACTAACTGGGTGCTTAGCATGATTACCAATAATTGGTCAGCAGATTAAATGCCTAAATTTTACCACGAAACGGTGCTGCGGAGTCGCCGGAATCAATGCCGTGTTCTCCAGCACTTTTTAATGCGACTTCAAGTGAGGGTCAATACTACAAGTACTTTAACAGTTGAACTTTGTGACATGATACATTCATATGTATGCCATGAGTATACTGTATGCTGTGGCTGCTGCCTCATTTTACGGTATTGATATAAGAAGTGCTACAAATTGAAGAAATCACTTCAAACTTTGCCAGGCATTATGAAGAAGAATTCTGACTTAGCGAAATTGCTTGCCATCTACAAGTCTCAAATCAATACATCCTGCAGTGAACAATGATCCATGGGTTCTTGAATGTACTATCATTTGCCACAGAAATGTTGTAGTATATTAACTACTTGGATGCTTTAGCAGGAAATGCATTCACCTATTAGAGAGCTGATAGTGTTGGTGCAAATGAAGGAGAGGACAACAACAATGAATTTCACTACCCTGTTGGGTATTTAAATAGTATCCATGAACCAGGTCTTCCACTGGTAAAACTTGAGCTCAAGATTGGTGCACCTATTATGATACTTTGAAATATTACTTCCAGGTATCTGCAATAGAACCTGACATCTGTAAAACCTGGGTTTTTGGCTAATAGCTGGAGAGCAGCTGACAATGCTCTCCAGCCAGTATCCTTGCTCTGGCAAACATCCATGTTTTGCAGATATTCATCTTGGGCTAAGGGTCTGAGAACAGTTGAGAGCACTTCCCAACAGTGGAAGCACCCAAAGCATGTTACATTCAGTGCTTGCAGCACTGGGATCTGCTCTTGGCCCTTAGCTGAATATTCAGGTTTTGCAGATGAGTCAGAGTTCTGGAAGCAGGAATATTGGGTTGTGATAAATCTGGAAAATCAATTCCCTGTATTATACTCAGTTCATCAGGTTTTGAAGAGGCACCAGATTCCAGTATGACTTACATTTGCAATGATAATAAATAAATTACAGGGAAAATCTGTAAAACATGTTGCATTTCCAAATCCTGTGTGTTTTCCAGAGCAATGGTACTGGCTAATTGTCTGAGAGCACCTGAAAGAGCTTCCCAGCAGCCAAACCATTTAGAACAAGTCAAAAATACTCCAAGTGCTTAGGGTAATGGAGAGTGTTCTTCACCTGGCACCCTTGGACTGGCAAATATACAAGCTTTACAGATGTGGAGTATGATAAAGAAGGCTGTAATAAAAGTTTTGTTTGGTAAAGGTAAGTTTTATATTCAATTCATAGCAAGTCTCTAACTTTGACTTTGAATTTTAGAAGATAGACATTGCCTTACTACAAATATGGTGTACCTTGGTGTACCCAGAAGTTTTTCTAGATAGGAAAAGTATGTTGTTTGCAATGAAAATGGCTCAGAATACTGCATAATAAATATTGAAGTATGGAGGCGCAAGGCGCCGACTCAGGGGGGTTTAGGGGCTTGCCCCCAACAAGCTGTGAACCCTGCTATAGCACACGGTGCGAGCAGAGCGAGCCACCGTGGCGAAGGCACGGGTTCTAAAGCTTGTTGTATTGAATATGTTTTAGATTATAAATCGAATTGATATGATTTTGAGTAGACGCAAGCGCCGTCAAAAGTCCGACACCTTGCTGATTCTCGGCCTGGATTCCCGTCCATACATACATAGAATCACGCTTGCTTCATGATTGAGCAAGGTCCATTACTGACTGTTAAGTCCACAGTTCCGGCTGAGTTTTGGTGTCCAAGCTCAAGGCTTCTACAGTGACCAGTAAAGCTCTTTACCTGCTGTCGTTTCGAAAATCCTGGTCCCACGTCTTTACATCTAACTTTTTCCAAAGTTCTATGTTATATGACGACGAAGATCTTGGTGGCCATGAGCCGGGGCAACAGCAGAATCAACAAACCGACGAGGATGGAGGATCCAGCGAGTCCGACAACAATTTGTACGAATCATCCGAGCCTGAGAGGGAGGATTGGCAGGACGAAATCGATACTGAAAAGGATTGGGACATGAAGATTGTCGGAGTGGAGGTAGCAAATGGAGATGAAATTTAGTGAGATTTGTCACCTATTATTTGCCAATTTGATCATTCTTTGACGCGTTCCATATCCTAGCTACGAAGCCCGCTGGCCCGGCTGGTCTCGTTCAGATGGTACGACTAATACCTATCACCACAAAAATGACCCAAGTATCAAAGGACTTACTCGCGACTGGGACAATGCCCGTCAAAATAAGATTAAAAATCTCATCGGAAAAGTCAAGAAAAGTAAAGACGATACAGCGCTGGGGATTGAAATTTGGCCAGATAACGACGTGATGAGCTCTAACACGCGATACCGCGCCCAACTTTTCGACGAAAAACTAGCCATCACTGAGGGTCGGCTGAACAGAAAGAGAAATTCTGCAGTAAGGGTTGAGTACGATTTGGGGGAGGGACTTGAAAGAGAAATGCTGAGGTTGCTGAAAAAGGAGATCGGAGAGGAAGAAACCAGGAAGATGTTGAAAGAGTATAACGACGACGAGGACAGCGATGATGATGACGGGAAGGATACTGACAACGAAGACGGCGACAACGACAACGACGAAAATCAGGACGACCGAAGCGTCCAGAGGAGAACACGCTCTGAAACCGCCAGCAGTCGAACTCGAAGCACTGCTCCTTCTACTTCAAACAGTGCTTCAATCTCAAGAGCTCAATCTACAATCTCTTCAGGACCTTCAGGACTTTCGCGCTCACAGTTGAAGAATGTCAGCAATGTACGATCCATTCCTAGGATACCACAGGCACAAGGCTCTGTCGGACAAGTAAGTCTTCATAGGACCATTCTAATCTTTCTCCATTATCTCATAGAATATTCAAACCCAGGTTAAATTATCAGCACCAGGGCCATCGTCGTCTTTGATACCGCCAGGACGTTCTGCTTTTTCTCCCGCTCCTCCTTCTTTTGGTCCTCAGGTATCTCGAAAGATCCCCCCCGCATCACCCCTTCATTCCAGTCCTACGACATCCTCCTCTACGTTTTCCACTGGGTTGGCATCGTCGAGGTCCCCTGCATCCACAGTACACACTACGCCTCCTCCTCCTTCGTCATCTCTCTTTCTATCGTCTACATCCCATTCGGCCTCGACGACAAGGACAAGAACATCATCTATATCGAAAAAACTTTGGGCTACATCTCCAATGACGAAATTGCCTACGAAAATAGGTTCTTCTGCGGTGTCATTTTTGAATCCATCTCTGCCCACTTCATCCTCATCCTCATTTTCGTCCTCTTCATCCTCGGAACCTCTATCTATCATGTCTTCTACATTTGCTTCCTCGTTATCCTCAATGTCTACTGTATCCACTCCCACACTGGGTCGTTCCACCTCTGCATTATCCTTTTCCGGCTCGGAGACACTTCCAAAACACACTATACCGATACTGGCCGACTCAATCCCGCTGGGCGCTGCTGAGTCCCGCCCAATGAAAGCTCTACCTCATCGGAAGACTCAGACTCAAATTCAAACGTTCAACTCAGAAACTACGTCCACAACTGCGAGTACGACCTCCAAGCCAACTCTTTCGCATAACTCCCGTACTCGGACTAAAATTACAACTACGAGTGCTGAGACAGCACGGGATGGGCTGGGATCAAAGTCAAGAGCGTCCACGGACTCAATGAATCTAGACGCCAATCAAAATAATGATGTGGAGTTAGGAGAGGACAATGCCCGAGTCAAGCCCAATAGAAAGGGGAAAACAAGGGAAACAAGAAGGTTTGTTCTCCCTGCGTCCATTTGCTTCGGTTTCGTATGAATACTGATAATCAGTCTACTCTTTTCTGCTTTCTCAGCCGCCTTCAACTTCTTTCTCTCGCTTGGACTGAAGCTGCTGCCCAAGTTGGTGCTGCATCAATCACATTCGTGAACGAGGTTGATGAGGAGGATGGACCGCCTGGTGTAGGGCTGGACACGGACTCGAGGGAGGGCGAATTCACATACCTGGAAGCGTACGTGTTATTCTCCATTTAATTACCTTTCCCCACTATTTCTGTACTGCTCCGAGCGCAATTCTAACACTTGAACAATCATCTAGTAAACCCAAAACTCATCTGCAGGAGCTTCTTGAACCTCCAGACCCGGGAATGTTTCTCCAATGCGGCTGTGGCGCAGAGTCGGATCGGGATGTGGATATGGACGTGAATGACGATATTGATATAGAGATGCTGTTCGGAGGCACGGAATCGGATTTAGACACCCCGAAAGGCAAAGGGAAAGCTAAGGTCATTATTTAAAGGAGCCAGGCTTGACTGAAATCAAGCCCTTGCTCTGCAAATAACTTGACTGATGCTCCTTTATCTTACACGTATAGGAAAACTCAGACTCTGGTCACATACCCACTTTACAGAACGTTTGTGATGTTTCTAGTCTATGCGGATGTCAAGGGATTTCGGAACTAGTGGATAAGGCCGGGAAACATATAAGGGCTTATACGGATGAGGTATGCGATGAGCCGATTTCTTCTCTTTCGGACACTGGCTCGTTCGAACTTGCGCTAATCGCATCCTATACTTGCATAGGGTTTATTCAAATTCACCTCTCGTTCAAACCCGCGCATTGAAGTTATCGAGTGTAACCAATACTGTAAATGCACTCTATACGAATGTAGCAATCGGATCGCGCAACGTCCGCGAAGCATACCTGTGGAGATTTTCAAGACGGAGTCTGAGACGAGAAGTGGATCAGAAGGGGTGGACGACCACGGCGGGAGCGAGGAACCTAGGAAGAATAAAGGGAGAGGATGGGGAGTTCGATGCGCGAAGCAGAATGTCAAGAGGGGAACTGTGTTGGGATGCTACACTGGGTGGGTATCATTCTTCAGGTTTTATGAGCATTTATTATACATTGTCTTCTTAGACTCTCGATACTGTGCTTCTACTGTACTCAATATCAACTTTTATCCTACATAGTGAATTAATCCATCGTCAAACCGCCAATGAACTTGAAGGAGAATACGGAACATATGTGTTCGACTTGGATGGAAGAGACCCCGCAGAAGACGATGAAGAATCGGATCCAAATCTACAGATGTATAGTATCGATGCGAGGAAATGTGGAAATTGGACACGATTCTTGAAGTAAGTCGTGCCCAAACTTTACCCATGCTGCTTTCACTCACATTGCACAAACATCTAGTCACTCCTGCCTTCCCAACCTCGCCGTATATACAGCCGTCTTGGATACTATTCCTGAACAAAATATTCCTCGCCTCGTGTTTTTCGCGTTGGAAGATATACTAAAGGGTACCGAAATGACTGTGGATTATCATGCCGGTAACCCGTTACCGAAGAAAGGGAAGGCGCGCAAGTGGGAGGAGATGCGACCGCAGGGAACTAGTGAATGCTTCTGTGGCGCGAAGAGGTGTCGTGGATGGGTGTGATCTGAAGATGATGTATACGAATTTGGGTACGTACTTTATACACACGGTTAGGTTACATCCGGTTACGTCGAGGTCGAATTATGGAGCACGGCAGCTGAGGATCGAGTCGCTGCATCTGTGTATCGTAGATGAGAGGAACATTCAAACGGTGAGAAACGGTAAGTGGAAGAGAGGTACTCGAAGCATAGGAAAGGGAGTGGCCCGGACCCGATCTATTCTCACTGAACTTTGAGGACTGTGCAACAGCAGCATCAAGTCTTCAAGATGCATACTTACATTGGATGATGACTTCAGATTACTCATCCCGTAAGCATTGGCCCAATGATATTTGAGCTGGTCTGATGCGACGAGGGACAATTGATACGCTGCTTTCGTGCAAAACCATCTAGGGAGGGGTTCAGATGCCTCCCTGTTCTCAGAGTTCTACTCATAATCCGTCTCACTTAGGATGTGAGAAAAATGAACTGTCCAATAATCCTTATGGGGAGTCATCCATGTAACTTGTACGACCCATTACATCCTATTACATCTTCACTCTTCACTCTTCAGAAACGTATAAGATCAGAAGTATATCTATCATACAAGATCTTCCAGGCACTCTCGTCGACCGTCGGGCAATCTTAGAATTGATGTTGCTACTGCATCCCGCCGGCCACCATCTCCTTCCATAGGTCCATCATATTTTCGAAATTTTGCATCAGAATAGATCAGAATGCCCTGGTTCAGCTTGGCTCCCACCTTCGAGTTCCTTCATCCAACTCTTGACACTCTTTATCACTCAACGAAACTAGGGGGCAATCCAGAAGTGTAAATCTGCTAGCACCATGTTGGTTTCTCTATTTTCGCTGTTGTGAGTTGACCATGAACCTCCAAAGAGTTTTTACTCATCTATATCGCTCCTTTGTATCCTCAAGTCTGACACTCAGCCGCTATATTGGATTCACGAAGGGCCTTCAAATCACCCTGGAGAACACCATTACACTAGGCGAAACAACAACCATAAGCTATGCTACAGGATCCAGCGACCCCTCTGAATGGCTCCTACGCAATGTCTATGCCAATGGGACCACACAGATAGGCGGAGTGCTGTCGGGAACAGGCTCAGTGAGCTTTTCCTTTCAGCTAGCAGGGTTCGTTTTTCAGTTCCTTGAATCAGAATTGAAAACATTCATCTTATATCCAATTTGTACAACATTCCAGACCGCACTTCCTTCAAGCAGTAGCGTAGTACGTAGGGTCCCCTTGAGTATACACCTACGAAACTAACTGTTTGGAAAGCAATGATTCCACCTCGACGGCCACCTCTCAACCTTTCTATACTGGAAACTTGTTTACTCCTGTTAATTCTTCGAGCACAAGTTCATCGTGAGTCCAGTCCCCCTTATTTATTCCTTTATCCAGCTGACCTCGTTGTATCTATCAAAGCTCGGCTTCGGCCACACCAAGGTTCGTTGGTCCCCAATAATGCCATTCTCGTGCTCATCTTCCTATGTTGTTCCACACAGCGCGTCGTGTCCATCCGCATCCTCCACACCCACCACCTCTCCTTCATCCTCAACGAGCTCTAGTTCATCTGAGTCAGGTGCCATTGCCGGCGAAGTTATCGGTGTACTTGGCTTTCTAGCTGCGTTGATATTTTTTGGGATGTGGTTCCGACTTTACAGACAGCAACACAGAAAACCAGAGTTTGCTCAAACCTTTATGCAGACTAGTGGCAACAATGGCAACGGCCATGGTGTAGTCCTCACACCCGTCATCGTCACACCGTATGACGGCCCAGCGCCTACTCAGCGCATTGCGTCGTGGATGAGGAGGTTGTACAGGCCATCGAAGTATCTGGACGAGGCAGATATGAAGGAGGCTAATATTAGGGACGATTCGGATACCACGAGGTCTATGCGGTAGAGAGAATGCATATTTTCATGTTCCCGTGCACCTCGAACCAGCTTCACTGTCAATCCTTTTAATTTATTTTCACATTTGGTAGGGGGAGGATTCTGTTCAATATCATTGAATACAACTTTCATGAACTCTGTGTTATTCCTCCATTATAACTTCCGACGTTGTAGTAGTAGCAGTCGAATGTGGGCGCACATAACATTTAGCTAGATCACACAGTCCAGACGTGTCAATGTACGCTCATTTGAGACTGGGTGAATATAATTGCTTTGTATTCACTAACACCAATTAATCATTGCAAGCCCCACCATAGAGCCTGCTATGAACCGATAGATTGACACAGGATTAACGACATTCATTCGAGACCAAGATTTACCGACCGTTAGAGACAACATTTTGACACAAGAATCCAAAAAAATTGACAAATTAGAAACACAGGTAACCTAACTGGATTCAAAGTAGTAGTTGCATATTCTACCTGCGTGCTAGCTCCGCATTTCGGATGATAACTCATCGATTTAGAGTTCTAGACAGTTGTTAGCCTATCAGTCAGTGGTGGCGGGTGTTGGCCCTCTCGTACTGTTTGAGAGTATAGAATAGACGTACTTGTGGAAAAGCTTTGCCAATTTCTTCGAAACCCACCCGTCTCTTACACTTCCAGACTACTCAGCACTACCGGTGCTTATTGCAATGTTGAAGTAAGTGTGACGACTTACCCGTGATGATTCACAGATCCCAGGTTATACCGATGGCGCCCCTGTCCCGTTCATAAACGTTCTAAAGAGACTCCAGTGCCGACGCGATGGCTACCTCTGTCGACCGATAGTTATGTGCCTCAATAAGATAAGTAGCTAGGAGTCGATACTAAACTGGACTTACTTCTAGTTGTGTGAAGTAAGTCCCCAGTGAGGTATATATGAGCTGGGGTTTTGGCTGGGGCTTGGCCCCGCGCGGGTGGGCTATCTAACCGGAAACGCGAGGGTGTAGGCCGGAGCGTTCGGAGTATGGAAGACCGAATGCTGAACTTGATTTAGTAAGGGAGGGTGGGAGGGAATTTTCGAAGATAGTTAAGGATAACGCGTTAAGTACGCGATGGCGATGAGAGACGAAAGTAAGAATGTTTAAGCGCTCAATGCGCGCTAGGTCGTCTCTCATTCGCCGGCCTTATCTTATCCTCAGATGAGCTCTTTCATTCACTCATCGCGGAGCTAGCTCCATCGCTTTCGCCTGCTTCAATCACATCGCACTCGACAAGGGCCTCTCCTACACCCACTCCCGTCGAGCCACATCACTTCGATACGCATGCCTATGCTTGCCAAATACAAGAAAGATATGAGACCAGATACTTTTCGTGAACCGGAAGAATGTTCTTCGATCCGTCAGAGCACAGATACGAGGTTCGAATCACCCCACCCCGAAGTGTGTACGAGCCACAGGGGCGCACATCCGCTGTCCGCATCTTCGAGAACAAGTTTGTCCGTTATCCTCTGACGGTAGGTCCTTTCCCGTTAAGTTTTCTTCAACATAGGGCACCTAATATTCATTTCCAGGATGAAAAGAACACACACAAATATTACGCGCAGCGGGTGAGCCCCCCTCCCACTCAGCAGTCCGTGTCATTCAAGCCCGATGGAGTCCTATCTCGTTGAAAAACCGGTCCCCTGTTTTCATTCCATCATTCCAGCCTTCTGGAGTCCTTGAGACCACCTTCCAGCTCAAACATAAGGTCTGGTCCACACCTCGTTCTGTGCATGATCCATGCGATCCAATAGTGGAACAAATGCATCAGCGAACCATTCTACGATGTTTTAATTGGACTATCGAGAGACCGAAACAACGCCTCATTTTAACCCCCAGTTGGGCACCGGAAACCAGTCAAACTTCTTGCGATGGTCCTCGATTTGCTTGAGGATTTAGCAAAGAACTGAAAGTCGCCTCGTTTTTTCTCTATTCTACATCATGATCATAAACTATGTTCTGTTTGGTGATTGTGTATGCATCTATCTATGAGTCTATGTGAATTCATAATGCCCTGGAGAGAGGCTTACCTTTGCTCAAGGACTTTCAATGGGAGCGTGCAAGATGATAGATGAGATGAAAACAGATGAAAACCGGATAAACAGCGTGAAAGTAAAATTTTTGTTCCCAATCAGGATAATCCTCCATCGATAAAGATGGTCATGATGCTGTACATATTACCAGATATTACCTTTGTCTACGCACGTTTATCAGTACTTACATAGTATAGAATTATTGAGGTGGAAAATGTAGATATTACGATAACATTGTGCAGGGATATAGAAGTACACTGTTCAAAGTCCCAGTCTGCAAGTCAGACTTCCACACTGAAACTCGTAACCTGCGGTAAATAGCTTCCGCCAGCTAAATCCGCTATAAACACATCATCATACGCTTGACTTCCATTGTAGCCACCAAAAACCCATAAGCGAGAGTCGGCAAGAATAGCAGAATGATATCCACGCGGAGAAGGGGGAATTCCGGCGGTTGGGCGAGGCTCGTATTGCAGGTTCACTGAGAGAAGACGAGATTACAAACGGAAGAAAGATGAGTATATTCAGACTAATACTCAAATGTCCTCACCTAAATTGAAGAACCGGATGTCATTGATGTATTCACCGCCGTTATGTCCTCCTTGGATGAAAAGGTACGAGCCAACTTGGGTGGAAGTGTGCGAAAGCCGTTTGTGCGACTCGGGAAGGTCGAGAAGTGTCCATTCGAGGGTGTCTAGGGCAAAAAATTCAAAATCCAGGAGTATGTTAGTGTGAGGGGCGATAGCTTCAAAAACAAGAACTTACCCAAGTTTAAGCACCAAATTTCTGCAAAACAATCTTTCCCATCGCTTCCTCCAACGATAATCATCATATTTCCCACCAAATTCGCAGTGTGATAGCCTCGAGGACTAGGTATACCTCCCAATCCATGGTAACGCCCACCTTTACCACCATCCTGATAGTCCTCGGGACTCAATGCACTGTCTCTACCCCGAACATTCATTCTTTCCCATATCATTTTGGACACATCCAATGTCCAGACATCGTTCAGCGCCATCATCCCATTGCCTCCTCCAAACATCCAGATTTTGCCGTTGTAGTACACGGCAGTGTGAGCACGTCGCGGAGCAGGAATTTCGCCATAAACGGTCGAGGAAATAGGGCTCGAGCGACTATTAGTACCATTGCTGTGGTTGCTGCCACCTGAGCCTGGAGGACCAGGTGCACTTCCAATAACTTCTCCAGTGTTCGGGTCTCTGATAGCACCACTGATAATAGGCTTTGTCCACTTTCGAGTAACAGTATCAAGTATGTAGACGGAATCGCTATAAGACGCGGCCTGCCCGCCACCAAATACATAGATTTTTCGATCAACGAGGGTGGCGGTGTGAGCACGAGAGGGTGGAGGAAGATCGCCATTTGTGATAGGATGTGACCATTGCATTGTTTCTAATTGGCTTTCGGTCAGGATTGATGGAGACGATTATGATGAAAGGAAAGGACGTAGACTCACCGACGTCAAAACAATATATGTCCCTCGCTGTCTCTTTATCATCACATCCCCCAAAAACCCATGCAGTTGAATCGACGAGGGTTACGGTATGCCCTCGCATTGTTCTTGTCGGGCATGCGCCATACACAGGTGCCCTTGACCAATACATAATCGTGCTTGACGCGATTGGAACGTCTTTTTCATGCAAATGAGCCAACCGAGGCGTTGAACGAGATGCAGTTAAGGTCGAAGTCGATGCTGTACGACTTAAAGATGTTGTCCGAGTCGTCGAGGACGCGTCGGTCGCAGAGCGGCGGGAACTCGAGCTCGAAGAGGAACTGCCAGCCTTTCTTGAAGAACCTGATCTTCTCCCGCTACCGCTTTTACCCTCTCTTCCTCCACTTCCTAGAGTGGCACTTGAGCTAGCTGACGATAACGAACCGCCTGCAAAATATGGCGAATTTGGACTGTGATGGTTATTGTGATGGACAGCTGGTAGTGCTGTATCTGACGAGGTGGGCGTAAAAGGACCGTGCTCTGGGACATCACTGAGAGGCGTTTTCACCATGTTAGTGGTGTTTGGAGTAGTTGATCTTGTCGGAGAAGAAGCAGAATTTGTTGGGTTGTTTGTCGAAATCGCAGAGATTGCAGATATAGAGAAAATCGATTTGGTTTCCAAAGATACAGATGAACTTTCGTCCAGTGTTCGTCGTGATGGTAGCTCTGAAGTACGAGAGATACACGGTGTTACGACAAGATTATTATATGCCATGATGGAAGACGACCAAAATTGTCAAGGTCCGTGCGCAATGCTTCCATCCAAATTAATTGCGCGCGCTTTTCTTGACCACGCCTTTGTTGCTAAGTGTACCCATCAACTATTCATCCAAAACATTCGTAGGAAGAGCCAATCCCTTTCATTTCCTCGTCTTATTGAATGAGAGCGAATTTTTCCCCCCAATTCCAACTTTCGGGGCTTCGTTTGTTGGTTGTCGATGAGGCTTATTGATCATTGAGGTCATAATTAATCAGCTGCTTGATAAGGACGATTTTTCTCATTCAAGTTATTCAAGTCCCTTACAAAGTCGAATCGGCCAGCGTATATAAAAAGACAAAGTTCACTCCGCTTTTTTCCCCAACGTTCTCTGCAAGATGTCTACTCCCCCCACTTTCGATCCCAAGAACATGCCCTTCAGGCGCTTGGGCCCTAGCGGCCTGCGAGTCCCTGTTTTTTCTTTGGGAGGATGTACGTTCATTCCAGTCTGTGGTCAAGAGAAATGAGGATCAAGATTGATCATTGATTAGGGCTTACTTTTGGCAAATCGGTTGTTGGAGACCCATGCAAGGTTAGTGGTTTATCATGATCATGATCTTGATAGGTGATATAATACGACATACTGAGTCCATGCTCTGAACGTAGGAAATCATGAAACTCGCGTTCGAGAATGGAATCAACATGTTCGACACAGCTGAGGCATGAACTTCTTACACCTTTAACGAAAAAAACAGGGTGTTGATTGAATGTTTCTAGGTGTACAGTCAAGGGAAGTCGGAAGAAGAGATGTACGTGTGATAAGGTGTCTTCAACTCAGGCTCATGACTCTTTACACAAAGGGGACGCGTCATCAAAGAGCTAGGTTGGCGTCGTTCCGACATCGTCGTGACTACCAAGTTGTACTGGGGAACAAGGCCAGGGCCGAACAACGGTGGTCTTTCTCGCAAGCAGTAAGTTCTAGCTTTTATCTTATATCCTGCGGTCGATGTTCTCAAAAATCCATGCGAACAGTATCATCGAAGGAACCCAAGAGAGTCTTGCACGCCTCCAGTTGGATTACGTTGATGTGATCTTTGCCCACAGAGTAAAATAGTATCTTTTCTACCTACCTGCGTTCTTCTGAGTATTTTACCCCATAGGCAGATACTAATGTTCCAATGGAAGAGGGTGTGTGTCGAGTAACAGATAACTTTGCAATGCGTGGTACTGACTGAGACTGCTTAGTTGTTCGGGCGTTTAACTACGTTATTGAAAAAGGCTGGGTACGTTCAATTTCCTTCAGACGTTTCTCTACTTATCGCTCATGTATTTTTGCTATCTCTTGCAGGCATTCTACTGGGTACATTCTATCTTGCATGACTGTTCTCGCCATTGATCTACATATCAACTTCTCAGGCGACGTCAGAGTGGTCTTCAGAACAAATTGAAGAAGCATATCGCAAGTATTCAATCATGGTCATTGTTCCGTGTGTTGATACTTGCCTCATAGACATTGCTGATAAGCTTCATCTCATTCCCCCCATTGCCGAACAATGCCAGCACAAGTACGTTTGTTGTACATACTGATCATATCTAGTACTAATGCATTCCTTTAGCATGTTCCATCGTGAGCGTCCTGAGAAAGAATACGCGTCAGTTCTCCATTAGTTTTCTCATCCGAGGAGGCGGAGTCCCCCCTCCTTTCCCTTTCCATCTTTGGTCGTGCATCACTTATTTACCGATTCTAACTCTGCCCCCATCGTAGCAAAATGTATTCGTCATACAACATCGGCACCACCGTCTGGTCAGCTCTTGCATCCGGTCTCCTCACAGGGAAATACAATGATGGTATCCCGGAGGGTTCGAGATTTGACGTGGAGAAGTCTTTCTTCTCTGGAACCTTGAAAGAGTTGCAGAGTCCAGAAGGGCAAGAGAAGATCAGGAAAGTCAAAGAGCTGACAAAGTTGGCTCAGGAAGGTATGTGTTTGCCTAAGCTCTCATCGCAACGATCATGACTCTATCCGATCTTATCTGCATATAGAACTTCAAACCACACCTTCCGCCCTCGCTCTAGCATGGGTTGCACGAAACCCAAACACTTCCACTGTCATTCTTGGTGCCACGAAACCAGAGCAGCTCCTAGAGAATCTCAAGGCCATTGAAGTTATTCCAAAGCTGACCCCGGAGATTTTGGAGAAGATCGAAGCAATTTTGGGGAATAAGCCTGGGGGTGTGGTAAGTTCTTGTCTATTGGTTCTACTGCCCTGTGTAACATATATGTAATATTTCCTTTGCAGAACCAGTACGGCAGGCCTTCCCTGGACCCTTTCGGAAAGCTTTCTCATCTTTGAATGGAAGGATTTCTGAGCTGATAAAAGGAAGAGCAAGTAGAAGCCTTTAAAGAATAATCCTCCAGATGAATAGCAGAGAATTTTTTTGTAACGCCAGAAATGCCAATATGATTACTACTAGATGGTCAAAGAGTTCTTGCGAACTCTTCCGATATTTCTGTGGGATTTTCCATTCATCTTCGCAAATGCCTGGATATTGTACTAATGCGAGTGTGTGGGGAAAAAATGCTCTGGAACTTTCGAAGAATCTTATGCCTCGAAAATTTCAGGTTTCTCGGATGTGATTATACTAGAGAGTGAGAATATATTCAGGCCGCACAAAGGTACGATATTTTCATAGTGTAACTGGACAATGGATCGCAATTGGAGAGAAATGGTGTTACGGGATCGTGCTTCACTTTAGTTACATATAATCCGACCAAAGAACTCGGAGAAAGGAGTGGGAACAAGAAAATACAATCAGCGCGGAATATCGTAATAAATCATCACCAGCACCCAGAAAAGTCAAAACCAACCATCTTTGCCTCTAGACGTCCTGTATTTACGTTCACATCACTGCAATAGTAGGGCCCATTCCACCTCCTAACTTGTCCACCTCGGTCGCGATATGATTGTGCATTTTATAGCTGTTCATCTCATTAACTATAGATTATTACGCTGTCAGTTGGTTCAACACAAGAAATGGCCACTGTACGTACTGGTCAATTTTCCCTCTGCAGCAGCTAAGGACGCGTCATGAGGTGTCAAGCTAGTAAAACCGATCCTCTCGTTCAAATTCTCTGTTGCGCGCGCAGATGCAGACTGTACTCTGGTTGCCCTGGGCTTTCGAATTGTCTGATACATAGCCAATCCGGCGGTGACATCTGTGGTAAAGTTGTACTTGTCGGAGAAGATGATACCTAGAGCGGCGGCATCTTCGATAGCCTGACACGCGCCTTGAGACCTTTCCAAAGGCTCAACGAAGAAATTTTTTTGGCATGCCATAAACGTAACTCACTGGTGGGGCATCATGGGATGAGCTGCATCACCAAGAATGCAAGTGTTGCCCGCGAACCACCGCTATAAATGATTCATGAGGAGATCGAGAGCGGGAGAGCACAAAATGACACTTACGTCGTAAGGTTGATGAACGTACAGGCGCCAAGGCATCCGATCGACCGAATTCTTCAACAGGTTCACGCAGTCTGGGTCTAGTTCGTCGTACCGTCCGGCAATAACGTCTGATACTGGCACTTCCGCGAAGGTAAAGCCCTCTTCGTGGTGCTTTGTTAATTCAGTTGGCATAAAGCCTGGAAGTTAGAAATGAGAATCACTGTAGAAATTGCCTATGTGGGAATGATACTTGCAATAGAAGGAAACGATCTCTCCATCAGAACACGGCGACATCACAATCTTGTAATATTTGGATCGACCATTTTTGCCTTGAAGACCACCCCAGAACTGACTGAAATCCGTACTCAGTAAGTAATTGATGTCTTACTATATAGTCACTCACATAGCTGGCTCATAAGAGTACTTCACAAGCCCTAGTTCGTCAACAACTGACTTTTTGACGTTAAGGCGATAGCACGTCTGCGGAGCCGACTTCATGTCTGGTACGACCCCGATTTGGCCTCGAACAACAGACTAAATGAAGCGTCACATTCAGAACAATGACATCAAAACAGATTTTCAGCGTACCCGGATACCATCTGCACCAATGATAATGTCCGCTTTGACTGTAACACCATTTTTGAACGTGACGGTTCCCGCTTCTGAATCGACTGTCTCGCAGCTAGATTCCAAAAGTAAAATCAGCCATACGCAGTGATGAATCATTGGAGGTCATACATGTGGTCGATTTTCACTATACATGGCGTTCCTTTGCCTTCTGGAGAAGTCGCGGTCTTGAGCAAAGTAGCATGCATGTCTTGTCTATGTAACATGTTGTAGACATTTCCCCATTCCTCCTCATATTTATCCAAGTTGTATTGGTTCAGAATCCTTCCAGTCTCCCAGTCGCGCATTACTAGCTTCATCTGAAGGTATCCTTGAGCATTAGACAGGTGAAAAGGACCAGAAACGGGACGAACAAGGATAACAGGTTTCATATCGGGAATATCTACTTCCCATTCTCGCAGCCACTGGGTTCCATTGGCGGCACAAGAGATGGAGGCACCGACTTCTACGTTGAAGTCGCGACGTTCGTAAATTTCAACTGTGGAAATTTACAACACATTAGAATGACGTGAAGCAATGTTCAAGTGATGAAGCCCACCAAGATGACCAGCACGACGCAAAGCGACGGCAGCAGAGAGACCTCCGAGACCTCCACCAATTACTGCCACGCGGAGTTGTTTGAAGTTGGGGTTTGTTGAGGATACCATTTCGAAAAAGTAGAGGTCCAATGTATGAGAGAAAGTGCTAATGCTATGGAGAAGAATGTTGGAGTGACGAGTGAGATTTGCATGTTTAAGTATGGAACTGGGTTTCTGCCTATCACAATCTTATTGAACGTGTTGAGTGCAACCAAATACAGCAGTTGACTCGGCCGCGGGTACCCGCGGATGATTCCGCGCCGCGTGCGAAGAGCAAGTTAAGGCTGTTAAGCGCCCACCGACGGACGACAGCGATGTTTTATGAACTTTTATCGCCTCGATTTATTTGATGACACCGGTCAAGGGAAGGTAAGTAATTTTATTATGAAGTCGACAGCATATGTAAAGATTCTTTGTGTTTAGACACTTCCACCTAATGTAGTACGATGGATTGATAAAGTTGCACCGTAGCTACGACTCACCCTGCAGAAAGGTTCACTGACGTCTCGGAAGAAGCTAGATTGTTTACATACCTTTCTAATCTTGTCCAGCTGTCCGTTTCTCGCAAGATACGCTGCACCAGAGTCTGCCCATACCTGATAGTGTGTAATTTTGCCACTATCATCAAAGTCTAACAGGTACGCAAACATCTCATCCCAACTCTCCTTTGTCTGATTCCAGGTGAATTTTGCCTTGCCTTTACAAGCCACTCTCCTAGCTTCCGTGTCGACCGTAAATTCCGAGAATTCCATGTCCTCGTACGAGAGCAGAGCGGCAATGGTTTCAAAGTACGCCCGAATACCATCTAGACCTTCAAAAGACCTGCCCAGAAACGGAGCCAAAGCCTTTTCACCATGTTCGACAGCTGAAACTTGGTGCGTGGTGCTGAAATGGGATAAGATGACATTTAAGTCTTTTTTCTGGGCAAATACATCGCAAAACGCAGTAGCAGATTGAAGGAGCTGGGAACGACTCAGAGAAGACATCGTTTGGTGATAATCGATAAAGGTTGAGCGTTGAAACTTGAACTGCAGACGTCACCGATATGGACGTCATATAAGCTTCAAACTTGAGGGTAGGTTGTAACGCGGTTGAGGAGGAGACAAGCACTTATCAGTTTGTGTATACATAATTTACAAGACTATCAAAGCAGATGCAGTTATTAACGACCAACAAAAACTGGATTGGAAAGCAGTGTTTCATAGAATGTAAACAAATTACCTATTCCTCCTCTTCCTCCTCTTCGGTGTCTACCTTTGCTGCCTTTTTAGTGGCTCTCGGCTTCTTCGCTGGTTTCTGAACACTTTTCGAAGCGGGTTTCTGTAACAAGCGTCAGGCACTTGAGGACTAGGATACACAACACATATAACTATAACTCGCCTTCCGCTTCTTACTGGTACCTTCCTCCTGGTCCTCTTCAGCATCTTCATCTCCGTCCTCATTATCATCCTGGAAAATAAGATTGGCTGTTACTAGACACAGTTAATTAAACACATAAGAGCAGACCTTTTTCGCTGCCTTCTTCTTGGATACAGGCTTTGCAGGCTTCTTGGCTACTTTTTTCTTGGGGGCCGGTTCTTCATCGTCGTCCTCCTCATCACTGCCTTTCTCTACTTCAGCAACGTCCTTGGAAAAGTCCTCGCCCGAGTCAGAGTCCTCCTTCTACAACGATCGCGTTATCAAGAGGGCCATATACAGGATGACAAGAGGACAAACCTTCTTGGTTGCACGTTTCTTGGGAGCAGCTTTCTTCGCTTTTGGTTTGTCCTCCTCTCCTGTAGTTTTCTGAGGAAATAGATCGATATAGATTCAAACAATCGTAGAAAAGCCCGGAAAAAGAAAACCATACCTTCGCACGAGGTTTCTTTTCTGCCTTCTTGGGTTCTTCGTCGCCAGCACCATCCTCTTCCGCATTCTAAGATCGAGTTAAATGTAAGACTTGTGTCAATCAGAAGAAGCGCTGACTTTCGCTTTCGCCTTTGTAGCCCTAGGTTTCTTGGGTTTCTCCTCCCCATCATCATCGGCTTTCTTCTTTGTCGCACGGCTTTTTTTCTTCGGCTTATCATCTTCCTCCTCCTCGTCCCCATCTCCATCTGCCTTTCTCGCAGTCTCGGGAATATCTTCGTCTGCAACATTTCCAACCTCCCAAGCTTTTGTCACTTTGTCTTGGTCTTCAGGGCGAAGGTCTTCAAATCCATCGACGTCCGACGCTTCTGGGTGTTCACTCTTCACATTGGACAGCACTTTCGAGGTAACGCAGCCCCAATGCCTCCAGGCGCTAGGTATAGAGACATCGGTGAGTGGAATGTCGCTTTATCGCCGAGAAAAAACACGCTTACAAGCTTTGTTTGCCTTGAAACTCGACTGTGGTACCAAAACGAAGGCTACCTTTCGTGAGAGTGCTACCTTGAAGAAAATGAGCAGAGGAAACTAATTATAGGGCAAGTTTTGCATACCACCGCAAGGTTTCGGGCCTAGAAAATTAGAGAAACGATGAGAAAAGTACAAGTCAACGGACATCAACATGCTCTTTTGAAATAACGTCGCATACCCTTGCATTTGGCACGATTGCTTGAAGCATATTCAAGGCGATACCCTGGCATAGATAGTACGATGTGTATTAGGTCTCGAAATGGGGGAAAGAAAGAAACGAAATCTGACGCGACTTATTGTGCTGTGTCCACCTTGGATTTTCGTTGAAAGTCCGCCAGGCGCGCACAGACCAACGAACGGTCAGGCGCCTTTATTCGCGTCTAATTCTTATTGAAGCTGAGGGGAAAATTCCAAACTATTAAAGACTATAAACACAAAGTTCTATACAGTAACTAGATCATTATGTAGGTAGGTAAATACGCAGATATGGAGATATATAATATACACAATTATAGAATGCAAGTGTAAAATAAATCGCCCGGTTCATGTCGCAAATGGTGCGTCCGGTTTCCCGTGAAAGGCTTGCCACAAAGCCTGTGCGTTTTCCTCAAAAGTGTGAGGACTGGGCTGCTCAAGAGGTTTTACAACACTACCAAGTAATGCGAAGAGATCCTCTCCAAGAAAATCATAACCAGAATATTCGTCGATACTATGATTCCTACCGGTTGACCAGGCATTGATGTCGAGAGAGATCTGTGTCGGTAATTCAGTATACCCTTGAGATTTTACTAGTTGTTCGAAAGATGGCAGAGCTTGTTTGCCGGAGTTTAGTGTGAGAGCAGGATCACCGCGAAAGTTGGACAACACATGCCCCGGCACAGTGTCGCTAGGAGTTGGGGGTAGGCTGATATCATTTGACATGGGGGTACGGATGCTGGACGTGCGCATAAGATTCGAGAACTGTTGCTGCTCATACCGCTCTTCGTCGGTGTTTCGGTCAAGGGAGGTGTCATATCCCGCAGACGTCCACCCGCGATCATCCAAACGCTGCCGAGAAGATGATGCGATGGGACCAGGGTCCTCCGACCTTTTTCTTTTGACGCCAGCAGATCTACACATATCCATTTCAATACAGGTCCACGGTATAAGTCAAGTAAAAACCTCACAAAGACTCTTGTTGAGGCTCTTCCTGCATTCGCTGGGTTGCTTGTAGAGCTTCTATTGCTGAAGGGCCTCCGTACAATTTAACTCGAACGACAGAAAGGAGGCTTGAAACAATTTCTTTACACCTCTTTGAAGCTGGGAATATGCCTTCCATTCCCTCTAGACTCTTCACCGCTGTTTCTGCATCTGATATGATAGTTGAAAACAGTTCCGGTTGATTCACATAGGCAGTTGAGCGTAGTAAAAGGACAGCGCTGAGCTGCGCAGGAATGAAATGTCTGAACGGGGTAGCAAAATAAAACCTACCGTGATATACTGCACAGCAAACGCAAGATGATGAGACGCCGGAAGCATCTAGGAACAGTCATAAGGGAATCGGCAATTACGAACACGTCGTTGGCGTTAACAAATACCTACCTCCTGGGTGATTTCACCAATCCTGATACCTGTTCGCCACCGTGTCAAACGAAAAGAAAGAGGAAAACAGGTAGACAACATACAAGAACGAGCGGCAGCTAAGCATCGAGTCCACGAGGAGTGATCGCTAGATGATGTTAAACGGTCCGGAATAAATGGTCGATCTTTATGTTATGTTGTCAGAATATGAGGAAATAAGAATAGAAAGTACCCACGAAGATTAATCTTGGCTGAGTTGTACACAAAGTGAGCAATGAGACAAAGGGTAAACATTTTCGGGTTGGAAGTATCGTTTGCTGCATATTTGACTTCGGGTGGGAGATTGTGCTGCCAGTTGTCTAATTCCGAGTCTAGATCCATGACACTTTCGTGCATTTTTTCACTCTTTGCGTCCTCGACCTTGGCGGACTGCACAAATCTCATGATCTTGCCTGCAATCACATAAATTCTGAGAAGCCTACAAATGCAAACACTTCAGTCGCCTGTGATTGACTCGGATGGACGGAGGAACTCACGCAACGAATCCGATCATGTAAGATTTTTTTGAAGGAACGGAATTAGACAGAAAAGTCCCATCACGGAGGGCAGCCAATTGTGCATCATCTAGTTCAGAGGCTGGATATAAAAAGAGTCAGAGGAGACGGATAGAGCTGATGGAGTACGGCGTACGCAGTTCAACATCATAGTCATCTTCGTGTGTTCCACTAGGCCTGCCAAGAGATATAGAGAGGACACGATCCAAGCCATAAACACACCACCATACACGCCTTCGATACTCGCGTTCAAAGTGCGTCAAGGGAAGGTGTCGACCAGAAAGCTATAATCATATTCAGTGGCAAACACTATTGCTAGACATACGATCACAAGCTCACATGCAAGCCAAGATCTTGCGCCCGTCGAACAGCACCACCAACGTTGATCCAGCTTTGAGCAAGGGCTGAATTGGACGTTAGAACCAAAGATAGTGAAACGTAAACACTCACTGTTCCACGTCGCATTGCATATGGCCATGATTGACAGGCATTGCACACTAGTTGAATGGGTATCAACGATAGGGGCCACCGGCAAAGGTGCCAAAAATGACCTACTGTTCGATTTGTGAAGAGCCCGTTCCCATCCAGAATAGCAGTTGTGCTTTTTCGTAAAAACTAAAATGGATCATCAATGAAGGGCCCAGTAGAAGACTGTATGGCCTTACTCGAAGCCTCGGAATTCGTTTCCTTCACCTTGACCAGACTTTGGCCTACCTTTCTCAATCAAACAAGCCCCGCATGCAAATACAGCAAACAAAGACGACAGAAAGCCATGTTCTCTACTTGGTTTCCCTTTGGCTTTTTGCGCCATTGCTTTCATGTATTGATCGACAAATGTCTGTTGATGTAGGATGGGGAACGTGTGGTGTATACTAGCAAAGTATGTGGCAACAAGCTCGTCTGCCAGCTCATGAGAGGGGTATCCAATGTCATCAGGACGCGGCCTGGCGGAGAACTTTAGTCAGTTTCAACTTCTGAAATGATCGGAAAACATACAATGCTGGCTGCTTGCGAAATGTCTTGTCCGGAGCAAAAAAAGGTAGTTGTATATCGGTTTTCGCTGACAGAGTTGAGTTTGATGATGCGTCGATTGCAGCATGATTTTGGAGAGACGCAAGTGCATCCACTAGCATGAAAGACGCCGCACCACCGGTGTACCTGAAGATATAGTTGAACAAATAGAACTTCCATGTACAAGATATGCACACCTGAGATGGCCGTAACTGTCTTTTGAAAGATGAGAGTATCTGTCGGACCATTTTTCAGGTCCGTAAGACGAGCTGCTTTCCATGAGATCGGGGTCGTATTGGGGAGTGTAACTTGATTCGGAAACATCATTGACACACAAGTCTTTGATCGCATTTGACGCTCGGTACGAGGTGGAAGTCGAGGGGCGGTCCTCTACAGGCGGAGAACGAGAGATTGGAGATTGAAGGTTCGACGCGGTAGAATCGGGATCTATACGGAAGCTAGTGAACCAGGCGAGAAAGTCAGATACAACGTGATTGTTGTAAGAGCACACGACGCACGGCAAGCCTGGAGTTGAAAGTTGATTGTTAGCTCTGAGCCAGGCTTCGAAGGCTTGTGCCATCGGAAGCAGCTTCAGGATCGTCTCTTCAACTTTAGCCAGCCGAAGCTCTACACTGTTACTCTGCCTGGAAACAACATGAGGATCTTGTTTCACTTTGGGATGATTGGAAGGATCGCACTGTCGAGCTGAAGCGGCATTGTCGTTGATATCTTTGACTAGATATGTAAGAACCGGAAGGACCGATAACATAGGGACGCCACGCACAGCTGCAAAGTTTGCCCGATGAGACACAGTATGCGCATGGTTCCTATTTGACATATCGATTGAGATACTGGAAGTTGCACCAGTTAGAGTCGTGATATACCTGGCCATTACACTTGACCTGCGGATTTGTCGTTTTAGTTATAAGAAACAGTTCAATATTCAACACAACTTTCTTTTCTTTTACGACAAACTTCACATGCTCGCCATACTCTTGCTCTGGCTTGTACTTTGCGACTGTGGTAACAATGAGATAGAGATTGAGCATCGTGAGGAGCATAGAAAACTGATTAAAGGCCATAATCACCTGGCATCTGTCTTTCCTTCGCCTGATTGTTCAGTGAGCTCGGACATTCTGCCGCGGGAGAGAGAAGGTAAACGGAAGTCTTCCGGTGAGAAATTCGGAAATCCCGTTGTTCAAATTCACCGCCACCACCTGTCACCACTTTCTTTTTATGGTAATCTCTCAAGAAAAATCGGAATAATATCATTGGAACAATAGATATACAAGTACATGGAGGTACATGGTCACTGCTGATTCATGATAACTACTTTCAAGTCATCACCCCTCCGAACAGCTTCGAGAGCCTCAGTGCTGCGGGAGAGGGGGAAGATTGCAGTAATCAATGGCTTGAGATCAACTTTGCCGCTGACTACCAGGTCGATCGCTGTCTGGAAGCAACCTGCAGTGTATCGAACCGACCCAATAACATCTAATTCTTTTGCCACAACTTCCACAGTGGGGAAAGAGTTTATAGCACGTCCTAAACCGGCCTGGACATCTACACGCAATCAAAGTGAGGATGAAACACAAATGAATAGAGAGATATTTTACAGGTTCCGCCTGGATGAGTAAAAGCAATACCCGCATGCATGCAAGGCTCTGCACCTGAGGCTTCCACAGCAATGTCCACTCCCCATGGATCGAGACCAGCATCCTTCATCACCTGATCTTTGAATGCTGCGGCCCAATCTGGATAATCTTGGGGGAGTTCCTTCGGTGGGGAAATAAAACTATAATCAGCCCACATGCTTTTTGCAAAATCGACACGCTTCTGAGAGATATCAATGGCGACAATTTTGGAAACTCCATAAGCTCGAGCTGTAGCCATTACTAAAGCGCCCAGAGGTCCACATCCGCTGGAATATTTGCAATTAATCGAAGTGCTTTGGTTTTCAACTTGAGGGCTGGTGTACTTACAACACTGCTACCGTTTGTCCCGCTGCAAATTTCGCGCGCTTGGCTAACTGGATGTTGGGTAGTTCAGAGAAGTGGTTCTCCTTACAAGCCCAAGCTTACCTGAATGGCGATAGCGAGGGGTTGGATACATCCCGCCTCTTCCCAAGACAGAGAGTCGGGTATTTTAACAACAAAATCGGATTCGCAAACGTAGTACTGTTGCAACGCTGCGAAGATCGCTTATGACTGAAATTTCTACAAGCATGGTTGAGCACACTCACTTCCTGGAGTTGGTTCCATCCCAGCTTGTCTGAAATTGCGACAAACGTTAGTCTTACCGATTTTACAATTATGGCATCTGACCAAGGCACATCAGTCTGTGGGACATAGTCTTACAGCGGAGGGAACCCACTTTCTGCAGAACATGGTGGGCTCGATGCATACTCTATCTCCGATAGCGACATCGGTCACATTATGTCCAACCTCGACCACTGTTCCAGCTGATTCGTGTCCAAGAATATTGGGTTTTCTCATCATGACCTTTCCGAAACCGAAGTGATTGTACAGGTGCAACTGAGTATCCTCTGGCTCAGTATCTTATCATAGAATACGAAGACAGTCAACATACATCGCTACCACATATTCCGGTAGATTCGACCTTCACCATCACATCCTCTCGCCCGACGACAGGGAGAGTGACTTCTTTGACCTCGACAGACAGTGCTTTGATGAGAATGCATCCATAGTTACTCACTTGAGTCATGATAACAACAGAGTTGACTTGAACGTATGTTCAATCCTTTTGGCATCTGAATTTTGGTTGAAGAGGTCACGGAACGGGAAAGCAATTGCAGTACAAATGCCGTAGTCATTGCCGGACTTACTTCCGCGCTCTTCCGCGGATTCATCCGAGTATCAAGTGCTCTCTCTGATGATTATAATCTATGCTTGATGAGAAACATCATCATCAATGGCCCCTCTATGTTATGACCCTGATTCACTGGACGAATTGGAGGTTGCCCTTCCTTCGTCTCCTCTCATAACTCTTAGCAGCAATGCCTATCTACAACCTCCCCTCACTCGTCGAGGAACTGGTCCAGGAATGATTGCGTTCTTGCCTCCATCTTCCGCCTACAAACCCAACATAGAGAATACTTTGGATCCAGAACCCGTACAAAAATGGGCTGAAGAAGGGTTTGCAGTTGTCGGAGTAACCAGCGGTGAAGGATGGTCAATTGAAGAAGCTCTGACGAAAGGCGTTGAGGCCTTGTTGTCTCTGGAAGAGCTTGACACCAGGGATAAATTTGCGGTATATGGTGAGTTTCTGCACACGGCTTCCGCCGATAAGTCTGTATGCACTATACTACATATCTCATGTTTAGTATACGACCCAAATGCTGTTTCCGAAGTCCTTTTGCGAATCCAACAAGCCAATGATACCCGCCTGTCCTGTATTGTGGCTATTGGTAATCCTGAAAAGCTCCCTCCCGTCCCTACGTACCTCCACCTTCCTCCCACAGCCGACTACCCTCAAATCCCCAATACCATCTCCCACAGATTTACCAAATCACCATACTTTCTCCTTCCTCAATCGTCCGAATATGTACCTGGCGAAGCGACGCTCGCGCACAGTCGTGTATTGGAATTTCTACGAAGGATTTTAGGAGGCCCTGTTTTCGACATTGAAGCCATCTGGGAAGAGCACACATACTTCGAATTCGAAGTACGAAGTGTCGCCAAAACTATGGGAACGATGGTGGTAAGATGAACAACCTGTCATTGGTTGGGATTTCAAGTGTAAAAAAACCTAGTGCAGGCTGAACCATACGTGAACCACGTACCTACAGTAGGGATTTCCTACTCAACGCCATTCTTCACCCAGTAAGCTGACCTTTACGTAGATGACGGGTGGTGTCGGGCGAAAGGCTCTCAGCGCCTTCTACAGAGACCATTTTATCTTTGCGTATGCATTCCTCTTTTACATACGTTGATATTTCTACAATTTATGTGTCTCGTATCTCTCATTCCGCAGGAACCCTGCTGATGCAACCATGATACCTGTTTCCAGGACAGTCGGAAGTGACCGTGTCGTTGGTATGTCACTTGGGACTTAAAACAAGTATGAACATGGATGCTAATATCTTATCAGATGAATTCATTTTCAAGCTGACTCACGACAGAGTCGTTGACTGGCTCCTTCCCGGAGTTCCCCCAACCGGGAAACTTTTGGAGATACCCATGATGGGTGTCATCAACATTCGGGGGGACCGTTTATACCACGGCAAGTATTTCCCAAAGATTCTGGCATCCATATGTTCACAACCCTTTTTAACACAGAGCACATCTGGTGGGATCAAGCAACCGCACTCTTCCAAGCTGGAATTTTGGCTAGCCATGTACCATATCCTACTACAGAGGGACAGAAGATGTTGCGTTTGCCAGTTTCAGGTGCAGAGAGTGCACGCATGCTGATCAATGAGATGGATGGAAAGAGTAATGTAATGCTGGGCTCTGATTGGGGCATTAGTACGCTTGAGTCAGTAAGTTCTTGACCGCGAAGCTCATTCTTGTCGACGTCAACAATGCAGATAATTCAATGATAGTATGAACCACTCTGATTTACTATCCGGTACTCTACATACATCAATTTGTTCTGTGTACATGCATTCAAACTTGAATGCGAATATTCTTCAACTTTTCTAGTTCAGCCGCGTTCCACATGGCCAAAGCTACCACGTCAGCACCCAAATTCATGAAATCGACTATATACACAAAGCAGTCAATTGTAATGCTTGGTAGGAGTGATATTACTCACACCCTTGCTTGTATCTAGCTTCAACTTGTTCAGCTGAAGTACAGAACATGCCAGCATATTTTCCAGCTGCCTTTGCAGCGGAAAGGATACGTTGAACCGCGTCTTGAACCTCGGGAATACTGGCATGTTCTAAAGCAGGGTAGCCCATTGAGGAACATAAATCATTTGGACTAAGAAAATTCTCCTCTCAATATGAGTGATTTGACCTAATGAGTTTCCCTCGTACCCAACAAAGAGCATATCTACACAAAAAATTAGGAATGTCTCCACGGTGCAGAAAATGTCAACAAAAAGACCTATCCCATCAACCCTTGCAATTTCTTCACAATTCTCCAACCCCTCAACAGTTTCGATTTGGACAGCGATAAAAGTATTACGATTTGCACTTGCAATATAATCATCCATTCGTTGACCAAATACTGCTGGGGCAAACGGTGAGCCTACACCGCGGATCCCGGAGGTGGTATCTGGTGTGCTTTGAGATTTTGGAATGGGGAATTTTGCATAAGACACGAGTTTTCGCGCTTCTTCCGATGTAGACATCATGGGACACAGAATCCCATGAGCTACAGAGTTGATTAGTCGATTGGCGGTTTACACATACGTTCTGCAGAATAATTAGCCCACCTCCGGTATCGAGAGTTCGCTTGACAATCCAGTTCTCGGGTGCAGGAATTCTGACCATTGGCGAGACGCCTTGCGCAGCGATAGCCCCAACGGACGCATGCATATCTGCATCTGCAAGATTCCCATGTTCGCAGTCCACTAGAACAAACTATCACGAAATAGTATGAGATGGCGTCCAGTCGAAGAGGAAGTGACACACATCATATCCCATTTGGGCTACCATACGTGCTAAACTTGCGCCGGGAAGCATTAGCCTAGAATTTGAATTACTTTTTTTGCAGAGATTTCTCGGACGCTACAGCTTACCAACTACCAACTACCGGTCGTCGGGGATTTCTGGCATCAGCCATCACTTTTTGGAGTCCCAGTAGAGTCTCAATAGAGGGGACATCGAGAGATGATTTGTAGGACATGAGTGACAAAGGAAATTTTGGTTCGTGGAAAGGGGATTGGAGCGGAGCGGACACCCGAAAGGTACCGCAGTGCAGATTCGTGGAGTCTCTTGCGGCAGACCTAATTGGTCGATCTAGCTGAGCAGAGTTCTAGAGTTCTACACAATATCGTAGTTTGCGTTGATATAAAAATTGCAAATTTTTTCTTCACAGTTCTGAACTTCCTCGCAACATGCGCTCCTTCTCGCCTGATGTGAAGGCAGGTACAATCTCTTCAATTTCGGACACGATTGGCAAGAACATATCTGTCGAATGGGACCATCATGAGGAAAAGCGATTACTGAGGAAGATTGACATTCGCTGCATGGTACGAGCTTTACCAGCACTCGAAATCCGAGCGATTCAATTTCTAACATGTAACGTGTATCACAGCCTGCTTTAGTTATTGTTCGTGCCAGATTACCCGTCTCACAAGAAGGAAACTTACCCGATGTGTCAAGCTTTTCATCTTGAATTTCCTCGTGAGTGTCGTTTATCCCGTGTAGTGTACTTTGGCTGATGGTTATTCAGGATGTAAGAATTACGATGATGAGTCATCCTGCCGTTCTTATTCATCGACCACAGCGGGGAAATTTAGCCAATGCCCGTCTCAAAGGGCTACAAACCGATCTGAACCTCAATGACACTCAATACGCAACGTGCATCTCTGTTCTGTTCGCAGGGTATATCCTTGTTCGTATTGTCTCATGTGCAAGTTCCTCTATGGCATCATCAACAGTCCCTTAAATAGATGCAAGTGCCCAGCACCCTCATCATGAACGCGATCCCGAAGCCTAGGCTATTCATGGCTACCGTAGTAGGCCTCTGGGGAATCATTTCCGCGCTGACATCTGTAATATTTATTTCATCCACTGAATTTGACGTTGAATGACTCTGCAATATAAGCTCTGCGACAACTTCTCTGATCTCGTCGTGTGTCGGTTCTTCCTAGGATTCGTTGGTGAGTTATAGCTCGATGCTCATTTTCTACTGTTCAAGCTCGTTTGCAGAGGCTGCGTTCTACCCTTCTGCAGTGTATTACCTCTCAAGATGGTATACACGCAAGGAAGTTGGCTTTAGAATCGCGTTGTAAGCATTTGATGTTAACATCATAAACACAAAGGCTCATGCCTTGCAACAGCTTAAATGCTGGGAATATGTTAGCTCAAGGTGAACGATGTTCATCCACGTCGCCATCGACCGTCTCACGTCTTCAAGGTCTCGGTGGTTTATTCGCTGCGGGTATACTAGGAGGGATGGAAAATGTAAAAGGTATTCGCGGCTGGAGATGGGTGAGTTCGGTTGGGCTGGTGTACAGTTCTCGACCTACTGATCTCTTTCGAAGCTCTATATAATCGAGGGCAGCATCACCGTTGCCTTTGGTTTGTTATTGCCCTTCATTCTTGCCGACTATCCTTCCAGGTGAGCCTTGTCAAATCAATGTGAACACACATTTTGATTTGCGTCAATCAATCAGTACCAATTGGCTTTCTGACCGCGAACGGGTCATTGCGCAAGGCCGTCTGGTCACGGATGTCGGTATCATTGATAATCCAGAAAATGACGAAAAATCTGGTTCTGGGATCATGCGAGGGGTACTCATGACTATATCAGACATCAAAGTCTGGGCTTTGGCGTCAGTTCCCTTGACTGCTGTCGTTCTAGCGTTTGACTCATTTCGACTAATTGTCCTTAGTTTCATGTACTTCACCTACATTATGGGTTTGTCGTTTGCATCATACATGCCAACAATCACTGCGACGCTTGGGTTCTCGACTACGATCACTCTTCTCCTTACCTTTCCCCCATGGGCTTTTGCCACTGTCTACGCTCTGGCCAATTCTTGGCACTCTGATCGAACAGGCGATAAGTTTTGGCATATTGCCGGTGCTTATGGCTTCGCCATACTCGGTTATATCGTCGCTTTGACTGGTACAGCAAAATAAAGTGAACTCTAAATTGCTTCTATTTTTCAATGCCTCATCTCTAGCCAACACGGTTTCCGGAAAATATGTTTCATTGTTCGGGATGTGTATGGGCTATAGTGGCACGTTCTTCTTCAAATAAGCGGCTGAATCCTCGCTCACGGACTTGTACATGCAGGTGGTATCATCATTCTCGGCTGGATCAGCACCTCAATACCACGCCCACCCATTAAGCGCGCGGCGTCCATTGCTTTCATTAATGCTTTCGCTAATATTGGACAAGTCCGACAATTCATTTCTGTACGTTTCTTTGTGTCCTGAAGCAGCGTTCAGATTCCGACTTCGTATTTATGGCCTACGAGGTGGGGTAAACGCTACTGGCAATCCTTTACCACCGAAATATGCTTGATGGCGTTAAGTTTAACGATTGCATTTGGTGAATGTTTTCAAATCAATTTCACACTCTATCGTCGCTGACCGTCAATGCGTACAGCTTATCGACAATATTTGATATCACAGAATGAGAAACTAGACAGGGGTGAAGCTGAGGCCTATATAACTGACGAGGAAATTGTTAAGCAGAGTGCAGAGTGAGTTAGTGGGATATTTGTTTGAAGATGATAGTGACCTATTTCCTTAGCTTGGTTCATGCGACCATGCAGCAAGAAGAAGTTCTTGTTCATTCGTTCAGATATCTTTTTTAAGCGAGATGGAAACACGCACTTTGTCGCGGTCGTTCGTACTCTAGACTTTCTGAATATTTCTCATTCATTCTAGGTTGGACTGGAGCGTACTCGAGTTTTCCATGGTTCAACAAAATATCATTGCATTGTCCACTGCCATTTACAAGAAAACAAAACCTGACAACTGCACACGAAGTTGAGAGTTGGGCTGCTATCCACTAATCAACGTCTACCTGCTCGAATACACTGAATCTATAAGGAAAAGCCGTTGGTCAATGTAGGGTTACATTTTTGTTTCAAGATCTTACAGAAATTCACATAAGGAGGACTATGTATGTCGAAGCGAGTCCGCAGGTATTCTCAAGCGTTCACATTGAATACTCGCAGTCGCATACTTCACTCATACTCACGCGACACCTGGAGAAGGGAGTGTATGCTTATTCTATCATCACACTCTACCTTTCATGCGGCTTCAGATCTTCTAGATTGACGCTTAAAACAAGTACTCAGTAGTCAAAATCCCTTCTTCAAAGCTAAGTTCCGAGAACCAACTTACAAGCAGAAACCTCGCATACACAGTACATCCGTGCGTGGTCACTACGCAGGCTGTTCAGGGGGAGGTGGCTCTCCACTAATGTGTTTCAGTGAAATGAACGAACGGGCTTAGAGGTAATTGACTCTGGGGACGGTTGGGTCAAATCGAAAGCCCTAAAACCGCGAGCATCCCACGTGTGCGCTTATGTGGCGCCATCGCACTTGACCTTTCTCTAGAACTTTCACTGATATGCACCGGCCTTTCCAGGTTTCGAGTGCTCTCGCATCCCTATTCCCCGGTCCTTTGATCACTCAGTAATATTCAGTTCAAGTGACTAAGCGACTCGACCGAAGATCAGCATGAATAATTCTGCCAATCGTCATTCAAGTTCTGCATGGTTTTCTTCCCTTTCGCGGCGCGCTCGCCATTTCTTCATTATGTCCTCTCCCGATGCCACCAATATCAATCGACGAAAATGTTTCATTCTCGAGCTGACCATTCTTAGAGAGTTCCATGCTGATATACTCAAAGTTTCTTGTGAGGCGGACCTACGAAGCTAACTCTTCCTACGCTTTGTTTACCAGACTCAGCAAGGATTCCGGGCACAGAACGTTTTCTATTAACGGTTCGTTCCCACTGTTGGACTGTCAGGAGCCGCGTCCCCTCCGCGAGGCCAGTGATCGCGGTTTTTTGGAAACCTACCACATTGTCGTATTGTCGTTTTTCAAGGGCATATATAAGAGAACGATGTGCGAGGTAGTAGGATTCCCAGCTTAACCGCACCCGGCCTCAATCGCAGTTGTACAGTATGGCTCTAGTATTTCCTGGTTACGACAACAGCTACGATGCTTATAATCCTTATTCAATGTCTCGCCGCCCGTCCATGTACGGAGGAGGCAGTTCTTATGCATATGATCAAGTAGGCTACCATGACCTAGATCCTATGTACGGCGGGGTAAGACAAACTCATCGATCATTTTTTCATTGGCGATGCCATTCTTATCCCTCGTTCTAGCAGTACAACAGCATGCATGGCCTGCACCCCTCCATGGGGGGCGTGACGCCCATGATGATGGGTCCCTGTAAGTTGATCTTTCCTCCTATTATGTTTTGCTGAATTGCATCGTGCAATGGTTGGACAGCAGCCTATGATGACATGACTGTGCGAGAGCCGTACTACCCTGATATCCGACGACCTCGTTCAGCGATGAGCATGACCCGGCCTCGACGGCATTCTGCAGTATCAGCTATATCACATATTCCCCTTCCACCACCCATGGATACGTACCGCCGTGCTAGCTCAATCCACATCAAATTTAAACGCCGGAGTAGCCTTATGGCTGGTATTTCTCTAGCTGAAGCCCAAGGATATGCCAGATTATCAAACAATGATTACTATACCCTTCACGATTTGCACGCAGATCGACGACACACGATTTTCCTGAAGATAAGAGTAAGTCCATGTTGAAGAAGGTCTAAAATTTTTCCAGTATCTTAAGAAAATTTTATACCAGTGGGCTGGTTATAACTCCTTAACGTACGAGATTCCGGTAGAAGCTTCGTACGACGACCGGATAAATCTACAAACCTTAGCGAGACGTATTTCAAGAGCGTGTGTCCACTACCTCCAGGTTAGTCCTACTTTCTCGTGTTCAAAGGTCTGCATTTGACTCCTATGTCTGCGCGCGCGCAGGCAAACCGAATACCTATTCCCTGGGATCGCGTAGATCTGCACCACATCGAAGAGATCTCCTATGGTGTCTGGCAACCTATGCTATCCTCCAGATGACTTTATAACTCGAGCAGTGGTGACATGTCAGGACGCCAAAAAATAATATTGCTGGCCCGGGCTATTCGCTCTATTTCAGTATTCGTACCTCCTTCAAGTTCATGGCTTTACCCTGAGATGGTATCAGGATACCATCAGTCACTATGTGGGTCGGCTCAGATCCAATACTTATATTTATTCACAGAATTTTTACTATGGTTGACATATTCGAGTTGTTCTACATCTGAATTTCATCAGATAACTTAAATATCTAAACATCGACGTGAACGAGCTTCTGAGTTGCCACATTTGCTGTTGTAAATGTATACGAATGGAACGATTATCTCTGGTATAATGTCGTAAAAATCGCAACCTATCCCTTCATTCTATGATGATCATAAAATATCGATGCACGACTATGTATGTCCTTAATACTACAGCACAAATGGGTTACATCCACAAACCGCACCTCTCACTGCAAAACTTGCAACACTCCCCAGTACTAGTCCCCCAATTAAGCAAAATTGTGACACTGTCGCAGCTACATCCACATCTTCCTTTTTCCCCTTCAGCCTCGGATTATGCTCTAGAGACGGCGCCGACATCATGCACATGCTCGCCACGTATCCGTTCGATAGTCCGAAGAGGAAGAGAATGAGCATGAACAAAAAGTCAGAGTTGATTATCGGTGGTATTGGGGAGTCGGGGATTAGTGAAGAAAGAGAATCTGGAGTAGGATTTGGAGGTCGTTGAACATTACACAATAGGAATAAAAAGATGAACAATGTTCGAGATAGGGACAGCGCCAATAGGCGCTTTGCAGACCATACTAATAATCTCGGGAACGAACAGATGTACCGTCCGAAAAAATCACCGAGACCGAATACGAGGAAGTGGATAGAGGTGAAAAGCAGGGGGTGAATGGACGGGTTGGTTGGTTGGATTGAGGATGTGATTGGGGGAAAGACGGTCTTTTGAATGGGGGGATAAAGGGAAAGGGAATATCGTCAGAGATTAGGACATACAGAACAAAACCGAAACCCTAACATACCAAAGTCACCGTAAACACATACGCTACCGCAATCTCATACAACACGTTCGTTTTGGCCACCCGCCAGATACTTTGCTTCTGTGTCAATAATCCTCGTGACGGTCCCGCGGAAACTAATATTCGACGTTCATCATCTGTACCAAGCTCCGGCTCTGGTTTCCTTGCTTCTAATGCACCTGCTACGGAGTGATATGCTGGCAACGAGACTAGCCATCTATGTGCCGCCGCCGAAAATACTAGAAAAATCGTCGACAGGCCAAAGAATATGAATGCTGAGCGTTCTTCTGGATCTCTAGCTCTACTAGATATGACGTCTAATGCATCGATGGCAGCTGGTCTGTCCATAGACTCGGTGCTGGTATTAACAGAAGCCGCTGCGCTAATCACCTGCACAGTACTAACCACAACCGCCACCGCCGCCTGGCCCGCGAGCATCGCCTGTACGGCTGCAGGCCCGAATAACGACGCGACGGCTATGACAGAGTTTTGTAGGTACGATCCGAAAGCTGCTTGAGCGATGCCGTTGAGGAGCACGAATGTAAAGAAGAAACCGGGAGATAGTGTGAGGAATGTGCTGAGGGTGAGAAGGAGGGTGAGAACAGTAATGCCAGTAAGGGAGATAGTTGCTCTGCGGGAGGGAGCCATCTAGATTGTCCTGTTCAGACAACTAGCTCAAGCATTGACGATAATTACATACCTGTTTGGACGTCGCGGTGGCATGAGCCAAACAGAGAAAGTTGGATAGAGTGAACGTTATTGAAAGATAAGATATAAATGTAGATTGCAGAGACGATCCACTGAGTCTTGAGAGAAAGTACGGGATTGCAGTTATCAGAGCTGTTCGAGAATTAGCCAGGTGCGTCTAGCGACCGAAAGGACAGACAGACCATTCCAAGGCAGGAGCACAGCACATCCTTAGTCGGTAATCAGTCATTCTTTCATTCTGTTCAGCAGTTTTTGTTCACCTAAAACGAAATTTATCCACTTAATTCTTGGATCCACACGAGATATTGGCTGTATAATCTCTTCAATTCCCTCTTCGTTATCAAGCTCAATGTCAGAACCGTTTGGCGCAGCAACCGGTGCTTGAGCGATGGAGTGGTACAATGCCTCTGGTGATGAGCGAGACATATAAAGAAGCTTATAGCCCGATAGCGCCCGGCTCAAGCTGTCCGGTTAAATTAAGCAAAACATGTTATGAATGTATATTATAATCAAAGCTCCTTGGGTATGACCTGGTTCGGCTCCTCCTTCAATGTCAAACTCGCCAACCTCGATCTTTGTTTTTCCTCCTTTTTCTTTCTCATCTTAATCTTCCTCGCCAATTTCTCCTCCCCACCCTTCTTTATCCAATTGATTTTCCTACCCTCTTTCTTATCTTCCTCCAGCCTCTGTCTCCACCTGAATGCAGCTTCTGCTCTAGCCTCTCCCCGAGTCCGCCCCTTTAGGTCTTTCACCTCTTCCTCAATGTATTCGTTGAGCAGCACCCTCTTGGCACGATGAACTTCCTGCCAGCGCTTCATCTTCTTCGCACGCGAATGCGGGTTTGAGAGTTCTTTGTAGAGGAATTGTTCCACAGGCGGCTGGGTGCCGGCGAAGAACGTTTTATAAGCCGAGTTTTTGTAGGTCGAGTTGTACAAAGCCCGGAGGTACTCTGTTTCTGTAGGTACTCGAGGCTGTAGTCCTCGCAATGTCGGGCTGAACGGGGGAGGTTTGTATGTTACTTTCAAGACTTGTTCTTCCGGGGTGTCGTATGGCGTAGCTTTGTATGTAAAAATTCCAGTGTGAATTAGCAGCGTATACAGAGCGAATAGCTGACGATAACGCACCATCGGCATGAATAGTAGGTTGTGACTTTGGCCACGGAATGAGTATATGTTCATGACGACGTTCTGGTAAGACGGGAACAGTTTTTGAAGCAAATCTTTCCCATTGCCATCTACGTAGAAACGAATTCCACACGGGGTGAGATGTTCCTATTCGTTGAGCGAAAACCCTGCAAACAGAAACACGAGAGCAGTCGTCAGACTGCGCGCACAGAAAGGCGAAGGAGAACGCAAATGGAATTGCGATAGGAAATAGGATGAGAAACACGTACGGCACAACCTTTCGCTCCGTCTCACCAGCTTTGAGTGGGAGCTCGTGTTCTCCTAAAAACAATTGACACCGAGAATAGTGATAATTCTTGTCTTTTCGTTGTCCTGCGTCCGGTGAAACCTAGAGAGGGATGCAGCTTCAATTTTATACTATTTTGTGGGACTGGAGTCAAGCAGGTAGACACTCACATCATGCCTCATCCCTCGCACATAAACCCTATTCCTAAACTTATTGACCGCGACTACTTCATGCAACACCTCGTTTTCATCGCTTCTCCCTCCTCTCCTTCTACCGAGCAGCCTAATTTGATCTCCAGGCACGATATTCCAGTATTTAATCCTATCCTTCACCGGCACCACCTTTTTACTGGCGTTCTCCAAAGACGACACCTGGAGTCTATCCTTGAGAATTTTAGATACGGGGAGAAGGTGTCGGAAAGATGTCGTCCATGGGCTCCGAGTGATTGCCCTATGAATTTCCTGTTTAGTTAATCTGTGGAGGGGCATGATTCATGGGAGGTAGTCGCTGTCAGTAAAAAGCAGAAACGACCTGGCGTCTTTTTTGAATAAGACCGGACCGGTTTTCCACAGTCACAGTCTGAGCATGTATCTGTTGCCCTCCGCCTTGTACGATTTCTTATACTGAGAATTTTTGGTTTTATTCGAACGAGAAGGGGTAATCATGAGTAAGTATAGATATTATAAATTTTATAAAAACTCTAGTCCTATCCCAACCTGTATTCCTTTCCTCGTACCATCGCTCTTACTAGTAACCAGTGGAAGACCGAAGTTCACTTCCATCCGTATAGGTTCAAATTTATATATCAGCCCAATCCCGGCGGATATCGACGGTTGGGAGATGGTACGCTGAATATTTTCGACGAAGTTACGGGCTGTGGAGTTGGAGGATAAGAGTCAATTGGGATACCGCTGAGCTCAAGGACTGACATTTATCAATACTATCTAAACGTCCAGCATTTAGAAACATATGCGTCTTGAGCGGCCAGTGTCCCTTTTTGGGAATGTTGGAGATGACGCTCAAACCAGCAGACCAGTATAGATCTCCGCCTAGAGAATCCACTGAAAATAAAAAATATTGAAGCGACATCGTTTTGTGTAAAATGAGAAAAAACATACAGCCATCTCTAGGTCCCAGACCTGCGAACCTCATGGAACGCACGGAGAGCGGACCTCCGAGCTGGAATCGATCCGGGAACAGACTTGGTGTCGGTGAGAAGCTCCACAGAAGGCCTGAACAGGCTGAGAGTGCTACAGTCTGTACAGCAACAACAAGAAGAACAAAACAACAGTCACTCCTCTTTGGAGTTCAACTAGGAAAAGTGGCGTAACCACGTACCAACCCAGGTAAAACCGATCTTGAAATGTGATTCTCAGTTTCTGCTTTGAAATACGAAGCATCTCCACCCAGCCCAGCGAATTCCTGGAACAATTTCGTATAGAACCCACGCGTGCCAGTTATACGGTCATTTCGATTATCGAAGGAGTAGGTGTAGGATATAGAGGACTTAGATGTTTGGCCTGCTGATTCTCGAATACTAAAAATTTGCGATGTAGCATAAATCAGCTGAGGGTATAACTATCAGCGCACCTGATAGACGCAGTTGGCAAAAGATTCCCGAGGTTTCTTAAAACAGCTTGATACGCCAATTCATGGGACCCAGTCGATGGTTCTCCGTGCTAAAAAATATAAGGGAAGCCCAATGATATAAGGTATAAGGCATTAAATCAGTCACATAATGAAGAAGTTTTTCAGAAGCTAACCTAGAAGGCTCACCCTAACAAGCGCCTTGACACCACGCAAAGTTTCGGAACAGCTCGCGAAAGTTGAATAGTCTCTGGACAACCCAAACGCCCCGATCTCGGCATACGTGTTGAGGTCAGGGGTGATCGGTAAGGAGAACGAGGTGTTGAATGACTTCCGAGTGGTTGTCCCCAAGGACATGTTAGCTTCGAATGTCTCTGCACCCCCGAAAACGTTACGAATGCGGCCTATTGCGCTCTGTGATCACCATTAACACGCTATTGCATGAATGCCCTGATTCAATATTAAAGCAACATTACGAAGACGTACTGCACTACCCTCATTGTTTCCCAATTCCGTAGAAGTCTTCAAATAAAACCTTCCCTTTTCGCGCACTTGAAAAACAAGGTCTACCGCTTCTGGAGGATACAATTCATCCTTCGAACGTTCAATCTTGGCTGAAACGGAATGAAAGATATCGGCGCGTTGTAGAACGTCGGATATATGTCTTGTAGCGTGTAATACGGATTGCACATCCTGCGGACCCTGCAGAGACCCCCCTGAGCTGGGTGACACGATGGGATTAATTAAGAAGCCTAAGAAGGAAGGCCGAGTTTTGTGTGTCCCTTCAACGCGTACGGAGGCAACGCAGAGAGGCGCAAGGAGACTGTTGTTAATCTAAGAAATATAGAAGCAACAGCATGGGTTCATGTAGATGTATCAAAGAAAAAACTACTGTACACACCAAGTCCGCAAGATGCAGCGTAGCAGACTCATGATCACCGCGTAATTTTTTGGCTACCCGTTGTTCCTGCCATTTTCTAAGCTTTCGAACTTCGATTGGTTCTTGGTCTAGTGGTGAAGACGAGTCCTGAAGAGGCGGTTTCAGCGTCCAAAGGGGACTTTCACCGGAGGTCATTTGACTGGAAAAGGAACACACGAAATGCTTCCCACGAGCACTCAGTCATCACATCGCTCTCAACTTTTCGGCTCTTGTTCTCTTTCGACGTTAAACCCTGGCCATATTCTATTCCACTAGCTGAACTCGGCCTATCAGCTCTCCCAAGCATGCCGCCAGATCCTCAGATTTTCAAGGTCAATGTTTCACATAAGGCGATTTGTTAATTGACCCATACTTATATTGCCATCTTTTAGGCTACATACAGTGGAATCCCCGTATACGAGATGCAAGTGCTCTTTATTAATATTTTTGACGCGATTTTACACGACTTTATATTAACAAAACACGTACAGGATGTGTAAAGGGGTAGCTGTGATGCGTAGACGGTCTGATGCGTGGTTGAACGCGACGCAGATACTAAAAGTCGCCGGGTTTGATAAACCTCAACGGACGCGTGTGTTGGAGAGGGAAGTACAAAAGGGTGAGCACGAAAAGGTGCAGGGTGGGTATGGAAAATACCAAGGTATGCTCTCGGACCGATTTTATTTAGATAACTGATCCGAATGGCATCTCCTTAGGTACCTGGATTCCTCTAGAACGAGGATTCTCCTTAGCCAAACAATACAACTGCGATACTCTACTTCGACCCCTCATCGACTTCCAACCAGCTGCGAAAAGCCCTCCTCTAGCACCAAAACACCTTGTCTCCGCCACCGCCCCGCGTCCCGCACGGCGAACAGCCACCGGTGATGGACCTGGTGGTTCGGTCGTTAATACGCGTTCGTCTCGTCGTCAAGCTCATCAGGAAGTCGACCAGGCTTCGGAGGGACAGGAAACCTTGTCTGTCGTTGGGACAGAAGATGGATCAATGACGCCGTCACCATCAGAAGCGTCGTCCAGCTCACGTACCCCCTCCCCGATAAATAGCCCTGGTCCCTATAGCTTGAACACGGTTGGTTCTTCACGACAAAGGAGAAAGTCGATCGATGATCGTTATAACGAGTATGAGGATGAAGTACCGGATGGTGGCATCAACGATGCTCGTGCATACGGGGACCAAATTCTCGAGTACTTCATCTCTGACACGAATCAAGTTCCAGCGATACTCATTAATCCTCCTATCGATTTTGACCCGAATATGGCCATTGACGATGACGGTCACACATCTTTACATTGGGCATGTGCAATGGGACGGCTCCGTATCGTGAAACTTTTACTTACTGCCGGAGCGGACATTTTCAAAGTCAACAAGGCCGGGCAGACACCGCTCATGCGCAGTGTAATGTTCGCTAACAACTATGATGTTCGGAAGTTCCCGGAGTTATACGAATTGTTGCATCGGTCTACACTCAACATCGATAACTACAACCGGACGGTATTCCATCACGTCGTGGACGTTGCGATGTCTAAAGGAAAAACCCATGCGGCGCGGTATTATATGGAGACTATCCTCACCCGACTAGCTGAGTATCCCAAGGAATTGGCGGATGTGATCAATTTCCAGGACGAAGATGGCGAAACGGCGTTGACGATGGCGGCAAGGTGTCGGAGTAAGAGGCTGGTGAAACTCCTTATTGACCATGGGGCGGATCCCAAGATTGTAAACAACGATGGGAAAAGCACAGAAGACTATATCCTTGAAGACGAACGATTCCGGTCTTCGCCTGTTCCTCCTTCCCGAGCAATGACTATGTCTTTCCGGAACGCGCAGGTCGCTTTTCTTCCACCTAATGCACCCCCCAACTATTCATTCGGGCCATCGAATGGCGATCGTCCGCCTCTTCACCATTCCGTCGCCGGACAGCGAGCAAGTACACGGTGTGTGAACGATATGACGAGCATGCTCGATAGTCTCGCTGCCTCTTTCGATCAAGAACTCCGAGATAAAGAACGAGACACCACGCAAGCCCATGCCTTACTCAGCAATATCCAAGGTGAGATTTTGGAGAGCCAACGCGCTGTAGGGCAGTTACAACGCGTGGCGGAAGGAATGGGGCATACAAAGCAGAGTTTGAGTGCGTTGGAGAAGGAGTTAAATGACAGGATGTGTAGGCGGTACAGGATGGGCTGTGAGAAGTGGGTAAAGGATGAGGAAGGGAGGGAAATAAGGATAAGGGATGCATCCGGGGGTGTTTTAGAGTTGACACCCGGCACAGCTACGTTCATCATTAATGGTGGGCCTTCTAGCGAAGACCCTCTGTTGAATAATGATGACGGGACCGCGTCCAAGCGCCAAGTTGGTATACAGATAGACGAAACTGTCTCCGACCTTCTTGTGTTACACGACAACATTCCCACAGACCCTGAGGCCCTAAAACGCGCCTGCGACGGCTTAAGAGAGGAGCTTGGGGCGCATAGAAAGAGGAGAAAAGTGATTTTTGATGAATTGGTGGAGTTTCAAGCTGAGGCAGGGACGAAGGGGAGGATGAAGGATTATAGAAGGTTGATAGGGGCTGGGTGTGGGGGAATACCTCCGTCGGAGGTGGATGGAGTTCTGGGGATGCTTCTTGAGGTATGTGGATTTTGTGGTGGGTGCTAGGTAAATGTGTGCATTGATCTATACCCCCTTCAGACGCTGGAGTCGGAAGAGCCGTCTGGTAAATCTAACACATCCCGAGGCTAGGACTCTCTATGCCTAGACAGACAGGTAGTACATGATTTGGTGGGCAAAGGCGAATGGAGAGAAATACTAGAATAAGTAGTAAGTTATTGACCTCTTTTCTTTTGAATGTTTTGAAATGCAAAGTCGAACTTTCCAAATTTTGTTGGGTCGTGTTGTACTAAAATTTCTATTCGGCAAATGTACTGGCTCTCTGTATGTGGATAAAAATAAATGATGTTTTTGAACGGTTCATATTCCCACAAACCAGACTGGAGCTCGATCTGAAAACTTTGCCAGATGTCTCTCTTACCCCAAAATACCCAAGTACTACAGTACATAGTTGACCTCACTACCTTTTCAACTTCGTACTCCGCGCGACGAAGTCACTGTGGGGATGAGCCAATGTCTTCGCGGTGAAAATGAAGAGAAAATGCAAGGATTTTTACCAAAATTCGTCAAAAATCCTGAGCACGAATTTTAAAACTTTTCGTGTGGCAATTATTGTGAAGCTATCGTGAATTTGGCGGGGGGGCGTGCTTATTTTAAATTATCTTTTCATAATTTTACCATAACATCAGCTCAATTCCTTCAAGATATCTGCTGCCATATTTTTGTACATAACCTCGAGATAAAACCCACATTTTCGCCTCGAGGAAATCGGCTCATCCCCGCAGTGAGTGTGGCGCCAATGTCTTTCTACGCGCCGCACATGTGACCAATTTTACCTGCGCCACGTGTTGTAGTCGCTTTGCACTTGAAGTTGAACATGCGAGATTCCTTCTCTTCCTTGAACGACTCGGACTCTGATCTCGACGAATTGCGCGTTCCTATGCCCCCGAAATGCGAGCCGCTGTGCTGCTTCAGTGATAGGTGTGCTGTCTATCGCTTTTAACATGTTCTATAATTAACTAAACCGTCCTTGTTTTTGTTGTTTCGCTGTTTATTGACGGCAGGTTATATTTCACTACATTCCCTCATCCTGCGCCGAATCCCGGGACTCTAAATCGCCTCGCAGCAGATGCGAATTATAGACCGCGCGTCAGGCCGAGACCGAGAGGCTTTCCCGCCACTTCACCCGATGAAGAAGCATCCTACTATTATTTCACAATTGACGACCAGTTGCTTTATCTTTCGTTCTTTCAAGATTGGGGCCCTCTTAATATTGCCATGGTCTACAAGGCGTGCATCTTGTTACACGAATTGCTCGAGGTTCGAGGCTTTTTCATGTCGGTTTATGCTTATTTATAAGTCTGCGATAGGATAAGGACCTCTCCGCGCACCGACTGGTGTTATACTCGTCCAGTGACCCGAGAAGAAAAGCAAATGCCGCCCTTCTGATGGCCCTCTACTCCGTATGTCTGCCGTACCAGCTCTTTGCCATGACACGCTGACCCGGTACCTTTCAACAGATGATTGTCCAACGTCGTGCGCCTTGGGAAGCCTTTCACCCGATCGCAGAAGTTGAATTTATGCCATTTAGAGACGCAGGTCGGGGTCCATCAGATTTCAACCTCAATATTCAAGACTGCCTATGGGGAATTTGGAAAGCTATGCAGAACGGACTGTGTGACATGAATGAGTTCGACATTGACGATTATGAGTACTATGAAAAGGTCGAGAATGGTGATTGGAACTGGATTACGCCCAACTTTATCGCGTTTGCCTCGCCTGTGGATCAAAATTGGATCAAACGCCAGAAAGAAGCAGCAAAGGATCCAGCATCGCCCTCTGCTTTAGCGTCGTCTACCAACAGCAATCTCGCACTACAAGGCAAACTTCCAACACCATTCCTCAATTGCCTCGACTACTTTGAGAAACGCAACATTAAGATGGTAGTGCGTTTGAATAACCAATTATATGATCGCACAACCTTTCTAGACAGAGGCATCGACCATATGGAACTCTATTTCGATGATGGAACCAATCCTACAGATGAGATTGTCAGAACTTTCCTAGATGTTGCAGACCGAGTGATAGAAGACGGAGGTGTTGTTGCTGTTCATGTACGTGAACATTCCGAGTGACATCGTTATGCCTCATATCTCTTTCACAGTGTAAAGCAGGACTAGGTCGTACAGCTACTCTTATTGGAGCTTATCTCGTGTGGAAATACGGTTTCACGGCGAACGAGGCTATCGCATTTATGAGGATCGTACGACCAGGCAGTGTCGTGGGCCCTCAACAGCAGTATCTATATCTGAAGCAGCTAGAATGGTCAAAATGGGCTGCGATGGATGAAGCACGTAAGATCCAATCAGCAGCGGCTGCAGCTACACCACCGACGATTACTCTTGTCACCCCTGCCACTCCACCTGCGGATATAGATGAAGAACAACTTCCTCGACCTACGACTCCCACGGGATCTGCCATGCCTCTTCCACCAGTTACACCCAGTCGCCATGTTGCAGCAGCAGCAGCAAGGGCCAGGGAAATCGCTCCTCCCGGTCAACCGCGCAAAACCCCCAACGCAAAACGCTCCGCTCCTGCACATGATTCCGACGATGAAGACGATCCTCTGGGTATTCGTTCTGACTCTGACTCTGATGAAATGAACGACATCCTTCCTTCACTACATACTATTGTTCCTGCTCCGTCTGCGAGACTTCGTGCTCGTGCGGGATCAACATCCAAAACGACTGGAAAGATCAAAGCGGGAGTCGTTTCCCGTGGTGTTACGGCATCAGAGCAGCGTCCAACGAGAGTGACACGTTCAACTGCTGGAGCTGCCGTTATTCGAAAGGCCGGTACAACAAGTACTGGGGCTGCAGTTAAGCCAGGTGCCGCTGGTAGGTCTGTCGTTGCGTCCCCTACAAAGCCTACTACGGGGCAGAGACCCAATAAAATTCCCCGGTTGGCCATGGGCAAGTCGACAGTTAGTTTAGCAGCCAAGGCTGCTGCTGCCAAAGAGGTTCCGAAACCAATCTTACCACGAATTGCGGTAGCAACGCGTTCTAAATTGAACCCTGCTCCCTCTCCAACACCTTCACGTCTTCCAACCCTTGTTCCAGCCCGAGGCCGATTAGCTACACATCATTCGAATTCAACAAGTGATGCGGCTGCGGCCGCGCTTTTGCATAGCAAGAAAAGTCCCGCAGCAACCGACCTGAAAACGAAAGAAAGTGCTGACGCTCCTGCATGGATGGCAACCGGAAAAGCCGCCGGGGTAGTGGTCACTAGTGGGACCGGGAACAAGAGCGAGTCGAGGCCTGGCTTGCGGAGTAGTGTGAGGAGGAGAAGAAGTAGTTTCAGTTCGGCGGATGTTGTTGCATAAGGATTTTCTTTGATTTGTGTTCTAAATTTTTATCCAATGTATTGGCTGGCATGTACTTTCATTATAACATCTCCATCATCGTATAGCTTCTCTGCGGCTCCCTCTTTCCACAATGTCTGTTTTCATAGCTACCTGCACCACATCCACGATCACTCACAATTTCTCCCTCTATTCATCCAATATCTTAATCTACACTTATGGTTGTTTTTTAAACCTGATTTACATCTACGCACAAATATTGTCCCATGGGACGACGGTGAAATTACTGTTTACTTGCAGAATATTTGTGTATACACTCAAAGTACCATCTTACATCCTCTGGGTCAACACCAGGTGTTATACCATGACCTAGATTCGCAATCCATGCACTGACTCCACCATTATTACCGTCTTGGAATTCCTTACACATCCGTTTCACAGCACTTTCGATGGCTTCCCTGCCTCCGTACAGCACATTCGGATCCATATTGCCTTGTAGTGCAACTTTACCGTTGACAGTTCTTCGAGCGACTGAGGGTTCGATACACCAATCCAATCCCAAAACGTCATAGCCGGAATCCTGGGCGAGCTCACCCAGTGCGTAATTCGCTCCCTTGGCGAAAAGGGTCATGGGAACTTGAGGAATATTTTGATTCGCAAGTTTTTCGCGAACACCCTTTGAGATATGTCTCAGAGTGGGAAGAGAGAAAAGGGCAAAGTCGTGCGGAGAGAGCTCTCCTGCCCAAGAGTCGAATACTTGGAGCAACTGGCAGGAGAAGATATTGAGACATGAACCGAACTCCTGCCAAATATGCATACCTGAGCCCCTGCTTTTACTTGACCTACCAGGAAGTCGACGCATACGTCCGCTATTTGGATAAGTAGTGCTTCCGACTCTTTAGGATACTTGAATAGCCAAGTTTTGGCTTTGGTGAATGTTTTTGATCCTCCACCTTCGATCATGTATGCAAAGAGCGTCCAAGGAGCACCACAGAAGCCAATCAATGGGACCTCGCCTTTTAATTCTATCCTGGTCTGCGTAATGGCCTTGAAAACATACCCTAGCTCCTTCTCCACGTCGACATTTTGTCTCAGCTTGGCTACATCGGCCGGTATGTTCAATGGATCTGGGAACGATGGACCAGGATTCATCAGAACCTCCATTCCCATAGCCTGAGGAATTACGAGGATGTCGCTGAAGATAATCGAAGCGTCGATTAGACCAGAATACCGCCGGATAGGCTGAAGTGTTATTTCGGTCGCGAGTTCAGGAGTACGGCAGATTTCGAAGAATTCATGATTAGCACGGAGCGCACGAAATTCTGAGGATGTATAAGAATCTAAGCGTAACTGAACGAAACTTGTGTACCTGGTAAATATCTTCCAGCCTGCCTCATAATCCAGACCGGAGCTCTTTCCGTCTTTTCTCCTCTAGCTGCCCGTAGCAGGAGGTCATTGCGCAGAGGAGGGAGTTCAACCATTGCAATTTTGGATTCTTCAGCCTTTAGCAGCGGTTCTGGGATGCTCGTGAACGCAGAAAGAGAGAGAAATGTTTTTAATTATACACGCTCCTGGTTTTCGGTCGCGACACGATCGATTGCCACTGCCGGTTAAATATTTGCCGGCCGGTTAACTGAGCTTCCGAATAGGCGCCCGAAACTTACCCGAACCTTCAGGTATCTTGTTCTTTATATGTTCCATCAAGGAATCCATGCCTCTCTGAACTACTTCCCAGGCTACGATGCCAGCTTCCAATCCGAACCAGTTGGTTGAAGAGTGAGTCCGCGTGGTTTTCATGTCACAAAGATGATTTCTCAGATAATTCTCTTTAGGTTCAAGAAATCAGGAGAATTCGACCGACTTCGCCGTGAACTATTCGCGGAATTTCAGAAAGGCGTCAGTTTTTCATTCACATACAACTTTGTACCTTGACAACTTACATTTCTCCGTTCTGTAGGACCATATCTCTTCCTTCAACAAGAAGACTGAAGATGTCGTCCAGCAGCGTTTTGCATCAATGAAATCGCGATCCTTCATCAGCGCTAGATTCAACAAGAATGAAAGCAACCTTCGGACAGAGTTGTTGCAGGAAATTCAACGGTATTATTTCTAGTTTTCAGAAGGTGTCTTGTATCTGACTTCAAGCTCTTCCTGAATAGTTACCCATACGTTGAAACAACTGTAAACGACATGCCGATATTCTCTGACAAAAGTTTCGATGACAGCCTAAAGGAATCCATCTTACGAGCTCTCAAGGACCAGCCAAACGAAAATGAAAGGAATCGGGAATCGAAGGAGAAAGTGGGAGACGAGAACGATTTGGCCTCTCCCAGAGACTCTGAACACTCAAATCACAAACGGGAAGATGCAATGGGCGGGTCTGCCGACAACATCAGAGAAGAGAAGAATACAAAGGCTGAGGAGGCCAGGATTTTGATCAATGGTGCAATAAATACGAATCCTCCCATACGATCTAATTCCTCTTGTGCAGGCAACCACAATCCTGCTGACACAACGTCGCCCTCCCCTCAGTCGCACCTGTCTGTAAACGGTACAAAAGAATTCGACAATACTCCCGATGTCAAAGACCCTACAGTTTCGCCGCCGTCACTAACTAGACGATCTTCTTCAAATTTATCCTCGCTATCCTCCGTGTCGTCTCGTTCACCGTCTGTTATTGCGGAAACATACACGGATAAAACAACAATCGTACGCGTTCCCGCACCCGCGTCTTTGCCTGAGTCTGTGCCAGACGACGGGAGAAGTCATACTACTCAGGACGGAAGCTCTATGAGCCAGACGGAGCGTAGTATTGCTCGTACTACTCAGCAAACAACCGAAGGCAGCTCAGATGTCGTCATGTCAAATGCAATGGCTATTCAATGAACCTGATCTCGAAATCGTCTTGTTCATCAATAGAACTCATTCCCACTATTCCCCAACTCCTCGTCTCGCTTATTTCCTTGCGCACATGTCCCTCTTTCACCGCCCTTTGGCTGTCTGCCTTCATCGGTGCTGTTAAGAAGGTCATCGTCGGGCACTTAGCTGGGATGCATTGTGGATGAAGCACATGCATCACAATTGGACCGAGGTCCATGAACCACTAGCAGAAGGGCTCTGCCACTTTCCCGACAAGGAACAGAAGAGTGTCGGCCGGTAGCATGGCAACTGGAGGAATTTCTGAGGGTTCGAGAACGAGATAAGACTGAAATTTAAATACATTTGTTTCTGTTCCAACTATGCTGTTTTGTACGTCTGTAAACTAAAATCAAAGTCGTTATACTACGCGGTTCGTGAATGAACTTCGATTTGCCATGGTCAGAAATATCGATGGTTCGCAGGCCTGCATAATAAACCTGTTCTTCTCTTTCCGCCTCCGGGTAAGGAAATCATTATTCTCTAAAGAAAGGGCGGCTGTTGCCATTCCATCTACTGTGCCGGATGGATCCTTGGACTTTCTTGGAGTTGCTCACCCTTTCTACCTAAGGAAGACTATCAAATTTGCAATTACTCATAGCCTCACAACTTGAAGCGCTAACAGCTTGGACTACGGAGAGTTCACTTCACTACGAGTCGGAGGGAGAAAGCCGGAGGATGCAGCATAGGGATGAGGTATGCTGATGTTGATGAGGAGAGCTCCGAGTCATGTCGCAATGGGGACAATACATTCGATGTGAGTTGTTTGCTCAAAATACTACAATACTCCTTGTTTGTTGGCGAGGTATTACAACTATGTAATGGCTGCGTCTCAAGTCCCGTAACTTGTGGAAAGAAATGATGGTTGGGACTACCCGCACATGAGTATTATTTAACAAGTAATAGTCTACAGTCTGGTTTACAAAAAAGCTGAAAAGAATAAATGAAAGCGCCTAAACACTGCAATAAAAACACTGCAATAATGATCAGAGCGCAAGAAAAGTTTGCGAACCGACAGTTGAGATATACTATGCGCATCTACTGGGATCGTCAGTAGATAAGGATTTAGATACAGTAATATATGCTCAAAATCTAAAATTGTTCGTCGGAGGATTGAACAAGTGCCACTGCTTTTGGTGAACGAGGCTTGATGCTGCACTTGAAAGGTTTTGGATGACTGGTGGATCGTGAGTCATTCCGTGGATACTAGTACCTAGAAAGAGAAGTTTGAATGCGAACATACCTGATCGTCCCACTCGTTTGATCATTCACCGGTTCAATCACAACGCCGTTCTCGTTGCACTTGTCAATGTCCAATATCGCTAGAGATGTGACGCAGCAAGCAAAAACGGTGGTATCAGCGAGGTGCATGCCTGTATGTGATCAGGACATGGTTAAATCAGGTGAATCAAGGGGCGGAAAATAAGAAGGCTCACCCGGGCAAATGCTGAAGCCAAGTAGAATTCAATGATTATCAAAAACCAAGTGATGTACTCAAATGACATACCGCCTTCCAAACCCGAAACACGTTTCTCGAGGATGGGGTTCCACCTGTCTCCCCAGCCCTTCTGTTGCAAGAAGATCAGCAAGAAACCGCTCGGGCTTGAACTCGAACGGATCATGATATACACGCGAATCGTGCGTGAGTTTCCTGCAGCGGGGATATGAGCATAATGTGTAAGACATGCGGGATCATGCATAACAAACCAAAGATTTGGAATAAGTAAAGACCCTTTCGGAATAAAATATCCATCATAGAAGTCATCTTGCGTTGCACGATGAGGGACCGCTGTTCCATGCGAATCAGTATTCGTCACTCGTCTCGCTTCACACTTCCCTATCGATGCCTGAGATCAAAAACATACCCAAGGGAGTAACGACATTCCATCTGAAAACTTCTTTTACGACTGCGTCCACATACGGAAGGTGTTCGCGATCCGCAAATGTAGGCAACCTGTCATTCCCAACCACTGCATCGATTTCAGCCTGTGCTTTGCGCGCGACTTCCGGGTACCTGTAAAGAACGATTAGCTGATTGATTTTACACAAGCCGAAAGCTAACTTACAGTGTCATTGCGAGGAAAAAGGCATAAATTGCGCTGACCTATGTACGGTATGCGTTAGTTCATAGGACTTGTCCTAATGAAAATCAAAACCATGAGGAAACTGAAATACGCACCGTTGTGTCAGCAGCTCCTGAGAGACAAGGGTTATTAAAGTATAAAGTACGAGAGGATTCTACTCACCGCTATACAACGAAGCCGCGGACCATTTAAGATCGAATTCTTCCTCCTCGGTAAGCTGCTTACTTTCCAACATTGAGCTGGTAAAGGAGATACTCGCCGTCCCAGCAAGCTATAAAGCATGCGGTGTGTAAATATACCCGACAAGAATCCACACGATGCAGGTTTGTGAGCCTTGGATTTGGGGGAAGAGCTCACCATCTGCTGTTTAACGAAGTTGTGAGGTTGTTCGACAAGTTCTATGAGGGTGGCGGCCCATTGTTTAGCTTTTCGCTTGAAATCCGCTCCAGGCACCCAGTCGGGTACATGTCGAACTACAGGTGGTAACCGTCAGGTAAATAGGAAAGAAGGTAAAATGAATCATGCTTACGAGCAGGAATACAATCAACCATGAATTGTCCAGTTGATGTTGCAAGCGAGAACTGTTCAGTAGCGCTATTGGCCAGCGTCACAAAAGGATCTTCTTTATGTTCTTGCACTTCGTATCCATGCGAAATACGGAGGACCACAGCACCGGCTAACCTAGGTGAAAATTTTGAAATAAATACTTCCCCCCTTCGGAAATGGAAAACGAGGCACCAGCTGAGATTCAGAAAACTCACCTCCTTACATGTGCTTGCAAGTCATCCGGCTCCGCAAGCACCTTTCTTAAGAACTTCTTCGCCTCCAGCTCCTGTGCAGGAAAATACTGCCGCATCGTCGCATGTGACCCAATCAGATTGTGGAACAACTTTCGGAATCGCTTGAATCGGTCCCCGTACTGCAGGAGCACGAGAGTGTTCTTCCAGCCAACGAGCTCGCCACCCATTTGGAGCACGGGTCTATCGGAGTAGATTGAAGAGCGTTTGTCCAATAAATCGACAGCGACTTTTGCGGAACTAAGAATGATGAGAGGCTGTCCGAGAACTGCATGCAAGTTAAATTTGATAGGGCCAAGAACTAACTCGAGCTCACCTGTTACCGAACAAATATCTCCTGTATATGAAAAGAGAAAATAAATTCAGTCAGTACGATGGAAGGATGACTGAGAGAAGGGGCTGACCAAAAGCATCGCCCCACTGAGCGAATGTCTCCCACTCTTTTTCGGTAGGCATATCGAGAATGTTGCCAATAAGTGGCAGGCCCTTGGGACCAGGAGGGAGCGGTAACGACTTTGGACCAAAAATGCGTCGTAAAATGATGAGACCGACGACAGCGAAGCAGAGATCGAGCACGGTAAGAACGTTGAGAGCCATCTGTTCTCGCAACTGACAGCGTCCTGGAGATTAGAAAGAAAGAAACAATGAAGGAACGTGAAGGGAAGTCACAATGTGACTATCTGATATCGATGTAGGCCAAGAGTTGGCCAAAAGCGTTCAGGTCGGTCAGGCTTTATACAAGTCCTTTTTGCTATAAAATAAGAAGGAACGAAAGAAAGGGAAGTTCAGGATGGTCGATATTAAATGAACAGGCATATATCGATTGGTCCGAGTTCGGAGTTCTTTTCGAACAATCGAACACTAACCCAAGTCAATCGAAAAAAACGCATTAATGAACCTTGATACATTGTCGATGACACTTTCACAGATGGAAGCCTTTAGCCTTCCCGATTGCCGACAGAGGCGCGTAATAATCGTCAAGTATAATTCTCATCGAAACCTAGGCTTCTCTAGGCAACTAGGGCAACTAGTTGCGTAGTTAGAGGGACCAAGGAAACTAGGAAAAACCATCGGTTTCCAACTCACAAGATCCGGAACAGCTTCTAGTCCAGCGGAACAGGCTCATTATCTATTCAGATTCAGGTAGGCACCTCCTACGTCCACCCAATTCGGTCCACCAACGATCCAAAATGCCAAACTGCTAAATGCAGCCGAAAAGACTCGAGCAGAGGCCTTCAAGCTTCAGTACTCCAGTTCCAATAGGCAGCGGACGGACGTCAACGAATGGCAGATAAGAAGAGAGCTAGGGCGAGCCAACGTGGTCGTTTCAAGATATTTCGCATGAGTACTGTTCTTCGCGAGTCCAAAAGCGAACTCAGCTGAATTAGGAAACACTTCAATGGAAGTGATTTGCAAAAATACACGAGGTTGACCTCGAGGCTGGCGCTCCGAATCATGCCATTGATCCGGCGGTCTGGCGCTTAAACTACATAACAGGTACTCAGTTTTCAGGGATGATAAAATTCTAAGGAGGGGGGCCTGGAGTAGTTTGAAGTTGCCCTGGATATGAAGAGAAGTCAAGCCTGGTCTAGCGCTCTTATAACGCATACCGCAAATATTGACTTGCCCAGTAACAAATGAATATCCACTTTCCTGATGTCTTTGAGGAGAAGCATGGTACAGGTGCACATAAATGTTCTACACCGTAAATGATAAACATACGGGCACAATCAAAGATACTCTTGAGCCCAGATATTCTACAACGTGTATGTACAACGCGGAAGGAGAGTCAAGATTGGAATTTTGTAGTATATTTGATATCGACGTTGTACTGTCATACAACCTCAGATTGTGTGTCTTCCGATTTTCCAACGTCAGTGATGTCAAACTACGTTTGTTGTGAATCAATAATTCAATACGGCAAACCATCAATGTAGTAGACATACCTCAAAATCTTTTTCCTTTGTCGCTTTGTCCCGGACTAGTTCTTGAGTAGTATCAACTTTGATAGAGATATTCGTTTGCTTGAATGGAAAAGATCATATATCAACCAAAGATTAGAAGGTAGAAATAGGACGTCGCTTACATTAGGCGCCATCGTCATGTTCCTCATAGGTCGGAGTCGAAGTTTGTTGGAAAACGTCTGCAAGGAGACAGAGACGTTGTCACCCTCTTCGACATTTAGACCTCTTTTAACAGCAGGCAAAAACATCAATCTAACACGTCCAGGTGTCGAGATACAAAACACTCGCCTGATGCCCTTACGGGCGTTGAGCGTAGCCAACAAGGAGTTTGAATACACTTTTTGAAATTCTCATGAGGGTTGAACAGTAGACAATGCCAAGATAGAACGAACATCTTCCCAGACTGAAATAGAAGGCGACATATATCAAGGTTTTACCCCAAATTAAGATCTAACAAGGATACTCAGTCAGCAGAACGGTTTTAGATAGCGGTCCCGAAAGACGCAGGAACGCTGTAAAGGACTTCTGGATCATCATAATCAAAAAAGTCGACGTACAGACAGCAGTGAAGCCACAGCGCAAACACTAGTCAGCAGACCGGTGCTCACGGTAAACATGATCTGACATCCTTCCCAATGAGGCAAAGAACGCTTGAAGCTTGACTTCCGATGTACACACCAGTTTGCTTATCATTGTATCCGATCTAGGGAGTGCCAGAATGATCGTCGTATCAGTATACATGTTAACTGGACACCCACGCTGCACGGAAAACAGCAGACACCGATGTGAACCTTGCACGAATGCGACTCACTTTTTGAATCCTGTCCTGGAACGATGAAGGAAGTAAAATAGACCCGCTGCAATAATCACGTCGGAGACAGCACCAAGGACATTAACTGTCATTGAAAGACTCTACATCGCATGCAGGTGATATGAGAGACTAACAACGAAGAAGATTGCAGTGCGCACCTTGAGGTTTGTCAAGTCCTTCCAGGTAACAAGTTTCAGTCTGCCAATGCGAGGCATTCATTTTGAGCTAGCCAGAAATTTAGGAAGAGATCACCCACGAAGAAATGGTGAAGGCTGTAGAGAGTGGTAGCGTGTATATCGGAGTACCGATTCGAACTTATACTAAACTCACCGACGGAGCATCCTGGTTGGCAGATGAAGTCAGGTCAAACAATGGCACGACATGACACAGTCTGATCAACCACTCACCGAGTTCTCCCAACACGAACAATACCTACAGTAAATTAATTGAGTAGTAAACATAGTAACTTCACACTGTTCGCTTACAATGAGCAATGTGAGAGGTTTATTTTGATTGCTCACTAACGAGCAAAATGTGAGTAGTATAAAAAATTTGTACATTGAAACTTACTCTTCCATACGCGCATAGTCAAGAAACTGTTTAGAGGTCATCCATTAGCCAAACTCAATACATCTGCAATCGTAAACAAACGGCTACCTTTGAACCAGAAATCCGATTAAACCCTGTAGGGGTATTAGCACTGTTGACCCACTAGCAAAAATGAAAATGGGCTTACGTTGAACAAAACCTCGAGCTTACAAAAGCAAAATCAACTGCAGTGCTTGGTGAAGGCAACATTGACCCACTAGTATACTCCTAGAGGACAATGAGCGCCGTTCGTCAAAATGTTCAGAAGCTTACCAGACCAATTTCGCTTGCTCTGTGGGATTACTGAAGTTCGTTACCACATAAAAATACACTAGATCCTTCTTTGAGAAACTAGCACCTCGATTCAGTAAGAGGCTTGCCTGTATGTGATATCAAGGCTTGGTGGATGCTGTCGAAAACCCACACAATTGCAACCTATGAAGGGGGTGCTCTTTAATTCCTTTCGCGTTCACACACTATGCAAATCTTACCAGACACTTGATATACCATAAGTCCTGTACTACGAATTAATGAGGAGTTATAGTGATAAACGCGTGAATTGTGATTCTGACCCCGGGGTAACGGCTGAAGTAGAACCATGTTTGGACGCAAGATACTAGCGAGGAACCTCTTGAGCAAGTTTTACAATGTTAGAGCAAAAAAGTACCAACCTCCATACAGACTGGAAACGCATTCCAAGTGTAAGTTCGAGGTAGTAGGGCGCCTGAGCGCATGTAACCGAATTTACCTTGCAGCACAGATGACGCCAATAAAGGCTGCGCCCATTCTAGAATGATACAATCGGCTCAAGAATATGACAAGGACATCCTGAGACGAACGTATTGTCAACAATAATGTGAGGTTCATCAGCTGTAGGCATTTTTCAGGGCGATAAGGAGAGCGAAGAGAACGTGAAGCTTCAAGTTCTGGGTCAAGTGGTGAATATTTCTATCCACTTTCCTGTCGGGACTGGTCTTTAAGGATTCAACCGGATATGAGGACGGCAGAAGCTCAAACAAAGATGCCCATCTGAGTAATCGAAGTGGTTAGCTTGTAGCATGTTTTCCCCGGTAAAGCCTTCAGTTTCGTGGTGATACAAAGTAGGTAGATCGCATATTGACCATGCTCTGGCTTTCCGAGGGTGTTCTCCTGATGATACGGCCAGCCCTAAGACCTCAGGCGACCCGGGAATTATTCGATAAGAGCTTTGCTCCTAAAGAATCCTGTACGAGAAAGAGGCAAACGATGGAGAGGTTAACTCGAACCGTCGGTGATAAGACAACCTGGAAACCGGTCGCCTGTGTGCATTCTACCATTTGATTTGTAGCTTCAAGATAAAACGGAGCCCGCGAGTGCTACAGTTTACCTTGCTATCCCTGCTTGAAAGAAGCAAAATTATTGGTCTCTACTGTTTTTTTACTGATCTGCCTACAGAGGAATTCGAGCTAGAAGATAGCTGTTACAACTATAGCCGGGCTAGACTGTGAGTTGAATGTTAAACTCACACTTTATCAAATTCGATCAGAGGTTGAGAAATACTATCTGACAAGGAGAGACATTCTGTTTGTACATCCTGATTATTGCGGCCCACTCATTGTACGGAGGTTTCGATCCTCAGGCCTCAGTGAGCGTACATGTTGGAAGCAATTGTACGATTCAGTCAAAGATCAGTGCATGTAGGTGCATGTGCTTGGAAGGATTAGAAATGTTAATCAAACTACCATGCGTGTACGTTGTTAGAACGGAGTCGTACTAAGAGTATCAGAGCTCCAAGGAGCTTCCAGGGGGTTTCGAAACCTTCAGGATTACCAGTTGTAAGTATAACATTGTGCACTCTGAGCAAATGCGATCCCTTCTCTCCGCGGAAAAGTATGGTACATCGAAGTGTTGGTCGAGAGGAAGTCAAGGAAGCGCCGGGAAGTCACGTAATTGAAATTCCCAGAGGCTCAGGTTACTAAGATCAAATCGTACCGAGGCGACCTTGTCTGGATCACAAATACAAAACAAGGAGATTAAGGTGGCTGATGCAATCTTTGAAATGTGCATACTGATTAGTACTACGTAGCAGTCAATGAGAGCAAGAAAAGACGATGAAGCCAAAGGTGATTCCAGGCTGAGTGGCAGCTCAGAGAGTCGAAGTGCAATTGAGACTGAACGGAAGAGTTAATAGGGCGGCGGCCCTAGAGTATTGCGATATGGAACGAAAGGTGCGTCAATTTAAACATGGCGAGAAACCTAGCCAAGCAAGCTGTTATCTGGTCTTCTCATTCGAGTTACTGCGAGTCAAAACTGCAAAAATCAAGTTTCAGAAAAAAACCACATTTACTTTCCCATGGGCTCCCATGAGTGAACATTTTTTCTTCAAGGCTCCCGTGAATTCTGGCCTATTCTGGCTTTCGATCCTAACATTTATCCATTGTTGAAATATTCAACGTGATAACCCAACGGCGGATCAACTTCCATTCATGGGAGCGTATGCATCCGCTGTTTGCAAGAAATCCCCTTTGATCTATTCTCAGCTCAGCTGACAACGAGATTCATTTGGTCGTGGATATATAGCGATCCACTCAGATCGGATTCCACTCCATGCGAGGGGCTGTAGGGGGCTGTGATTCTTTCAAACTGGATTGATCTTGACGATCTGTCACAAGCATCGAAGAATATAATTATCTTCCTTTCATTCTCCCATTCTGTTGCTCTGCGAGCTCTCTCACTTTCTACCGCCCAGTTGAAGCAGGCTTCTGCGACTATTTTTGCTCACTCATATTTATTCTATGGCTCTCCCTGGTATGTCTCTGCTGTGTATCTTCTGGATCTTATCTCTGAGCTTCCTTCACCACAGCTGATGCAGGACCGGCAATGCCGATGAATATTGTTCATGGAACGCACGCAGAGCTCATATTGTTTCTGGTGTTGAATATGTGGCCTTCCCACTTTGGTTTACCGATTCTTCTAGCAATCGTATTGCTCTCAAAACGTGTACAACGTCATCCGACTTTCGTCAATCTCTTGATAGTTTTCATTGTAGTGGGAATGTGAGCGTTATGCTTCGGTCGCGGGTATTTACTGACAGTCACTTGCACATAGCTCTTCGAGCCTGCTGTACGCTGTTTCGTGCCATAGAAATATCACCGATCACGCTGATGCTGATAAAAATGGACAGCGTTTATGCCGGGAAGGCGTCAGGCCCAGAACCTTCGCCAGCGTTATGCTTAGCTCAGGCGGCGCTGCTATACGGAATGCCAGGAATGCAAGTGATAATGTTTCTGTGAACACGTTCAAAACTCAATGTCTATATCAAGTACATCTGTTGCCGTGTTCGCACTGGTATTCCAGGTAGCTCTCGGGCCATACTTTAGAATACTTCTAACGCAGAAATTCCAGATGTTCATAGTAATCAGAGCGGCTTTCTACAAGCAGCCAAGCAGAGATACACACTTCGTACGTATCTGGGTGGTACGTAGATCTTATTATTCGGATTCGTAAATCTCCGTCTCATTGCAGGTTTGGATCGAAGATGATCATCGCTCCATACGCTGTCTGGATCGTATTCATCGTGGTGACAGTCTTTGTGAGCGATCTTTGGTAAAACATATTTTTGTCTCGCTGAACATCAAATACAAGGTTGGTGTTGGTGAACCAGCGAATGTGTCGCGGGATCGCCGTTTTTTCTATTGTTCAGTGAAATCTGATGCTCTGTGAGGGCGGGCTACAACCGATTACCGTTAACATCATACTCATCAAATCTTGCCCTTCAAAGCACTGGTACTCTGACGATATTCGCTGCTGTAGTTCTACTAGCTACCTTGATTCTAGAAGGCAATCTGCTTCCATATCTGCTCGGGTGAACCGTTACTCAATCTTCAACAGCTTGGACAATTGTGCTTTTCTATAAACGTTGGGTTTCGATTGCCCGAGGGAGCAGCGGAATGTTCACAGCTGCAGAGCTCAACCTGCCACTACGCATTCTGGCTTTTGGGATGTATCTTCTGGTTGCTATGAGGTACCAATGGAAGTTTTCAGCAGCAGTCTGATACATACTGAACTTTTCTTTCAGTTTAAGCCTTCTATCAATGAAATCACCTGAAAGTCCGATACCGGATTTAATCATTGCATCTGGTACGTAATCAGCTGTCTTTTCTGAGCTTGAGATATCAGGCTCACTTGAAGTTGAATCAGCTGCGACAGTGGTCATTTTGATATTCGGGACTCAGCTGGTGACTGATCATCTCTGACTGACTGGCTGAACACTCAACTTATCGTTGTCACTCAAAGGATATCTTGAGAGCGATATGTTTTTGGCGGAAAGAAGTCAGCATTGGGGATACAAGCAATGATTCCACCAACGATTCCGAGGTCTACAAGAGGACCACGTATTGAGTAAGGTAATCAACACAATTCCGTGCACTGTACATATTCATACTATGTAAAAAGAGTGATCAGGAAAAATTGTAGATTCATCCTGACGCCTTAGGATTTTGTCGAAGAACTATCCCTACACCCACAGCCCCGATGACTGTGTCTAACAAGATGGCCCAAATGACGATTGCATAAAGTTCTTGAGAAACTTGTGTCAAAATGGGTCTAGCTATTTGAGAAATAATTAGTGCTATCTCTCCCCTAGCTATCATAGCTAGTCCCACAAATATTGCCGAGCGCATTGGGGACATCAACAGCTCTTCAAGAGGATCGGGGATAGACTGCCTATGTCGATTCCTTATTCTCCATGTTGGGCAAATCGTTTGAAATGTCAAGAATGTGGGGGGGATAAAAAGCCAGAAGCCAGTCAGGGCTTTTGCGCCCGCCATTAAAAGCGCGTATACAAAACCCCGCCAAACCACTCGCGATGAGCCGTCCACGGAACCAAGAGTCCGGATAGGTAGAGCAGATCCGATAGAGGCAAAGAATATGGGCGAAAGAACATATCGAAGGATAGGTTGGACAAAGGTATCAAATGTGAGGTGGGGTGTATAAATTCCGGCACTGGGAGCTCCCGATGCGAGCGAAACGCGGCTTTCACCAGCAGAGTCGATCGACGCAGATCGTGCCGACGGTTGAACATTTTCTGGGGGTGATTGAAAGATGTGACCAACGAGGACACCGGAAAGATATGCTCCAAAAAGCTCACTGGTCCCAGCGTATTTGGCCCCAGCTACAAAGCCCGCCAAGAAGACTGCTTGTAAAAACAGCTGAGTTTCCGCCCGATAAATGTCTCGTTTCCAGTGATCAGGCATTGGTTTCATCAATAGTTGTAGAGCCCACACCAAAAGACAAGTACTTCCTGCGAATGCAACTGAAACCAGAAGTGGTCGGACGATGTTTTGCCATGACACAGAGCCAAGGGCATTAGACGATAACGTCTGCATTATTGCCGCAATGATAAGCCCCACGACATCGTCAAATAACGCGGCACTGAGTAGAACTATCCCGGGCCTGGTTTGACGAAGTTCTGGTTTGAGAAGTGAAAGGGTTGTGCCAAGGGATGTGGAACTCAATGATGCACCTGCTACGAAACTCGGTAATATGTCATACCCAAATCCGAAATGCACAACAAGAATTGAAAGTGCAATTGGAAGTAAAATACCTGATCCACCAACCAGAATTGATGAAGTTGAATTATCATACAGTAGAGCAATGTTTGTGCTCAATCCGGCTTCGAAGACCAGGAGTATGAGACCGATGTATCCAAGAATAAGAAGAGTCTGAAGGACATTTTCAGGAACGATGGATGAGACTTCTGGCCCATAGACGATTCCTACTGCCAGGGAGCCCAGGAGGCCAGCTTCGAGGAGGTAGTTGAAAATCGCTTCAGCGACGTTGAGAAGATATAGCAGTGAAAATGTCGTCAGAAGGATGGGAATATCAGGGACAGTGTAAACAAACATATCGGATTAATTCTGGATCCGGATTCCCCGCTCTCCTTCATCGGTTCCATGAAGCTTATGAAGCAACCAGTTCGAGGTCTAGTAGCTGCTTTAAATAGTAGCGGCAAGTTCAAGTTCAAGGTAGAGTTTTATCCACTATTTTTCACTAACTTTAATCTCAGGTGCTAACGAAATTTCGTAGGCCCCAGAAGTCGCAGTGGACCATTTGGTTATTGGTGCTGGTAAGAGTTGTCTCGACAAGCTCTACTGCTACTGTCATTGGATTTCAATTAAACACAGGTGTGGTGGGTCTCGCAATCGCTCAAAGATTGTGCGAAAGTTTCCCTTCAAAATCGACGTATGTTGTAGAACGCCACGCTCGAGCAGGAGAAGAAACAAGGTATTCATCTAAAGGCCGTTTACTATCGTGTGCAGCTATTCATCGGCAATCGTTCTTTATACCGTAGCTCCAGAAACTCTGAAGTCATACACTCTGGTAGAGTTTAATTTCACATTTGACTGTGGCGCAACACTCTTCATAAATATGCAGGTATCTACTATCCGGCTGATTCTCTAAAGACTCGACTGTGTCTACGTGGACGCGACCTGATGTATCAGCGATGTCGAGCGCTGGATATACCGCATCGCAAGACTGGTAAACTTGTTGTTGCCAAGGACAACCAGCGTCCTTACATTGAGAACCTCCATCTGAAGGCGTTGAGATCACAATGGCCTCCGTATTCCAATGCCATTGATGACTCACCTGTTCTTCCTACAAGGCTTATATCCGGAGACGAATCTCGTGCTATGGAGCCTAATTTGTCCCAGGATATCTCAGCAGCGTTGTGGTGTCCAGAGACTGGGATCGTCGACTCTCATTCATTTATGGAAAGTTTGGAACACGATATTTCGGAATCCGAAGTGGGCAACTTGGCCTATGCAACCCGTGTCGTCCGGTTGGACCCTTACAGAAGCTCTAAACAAATGTCAGAGGCAGAACGAGGATGGGTGGTGCAGACTGTTACTGGAAACGACGAGGGCTCGGGAACAGAAAGTGATACTATCCTAGCTCGGACGGTTTTCAATGCATCAGGTTTATCTGGTCCTTTTATTCTCAATTCCTTGCTTCCTCCAGAGCGGCGCATTCTCATGTACTATGCACGGGGTTCCTATGCTTCGTACCAGGGCCCTGGAATTTCAGGAATATCTCATCTCATCTATCCTTGTCCTGACACAGGTCCTAATGCTCATGCATTCGCTTCACTGGGGACACATTTAACACTTGACTTGAACGGAAAGGTCAAATTCGGACCAGACATCGAATTCCTTTCACCTCCGAGCTCTGAAGATTCGGAGGAAAACATGGACTATTGGACGAGGCATTTGATCCCTGATGACTCTAGCCTTGAAAAGATGCATCTCGCAGTCAAACAATATCTTCCGGAAGTCGTGGCGGATGGTCTGCGGCCGGATTATGTGGGTATTCGGCCTAAGCTAGTACCTGCAGGCGCGGGGTTCCAGGATTTTGTCTTTCGAATTGATTATCCTTGTCAATTTGGAGGCGGTGGTACTGTTGGAGAAGGCCCGATGATCAGTCTTTTAGGAATAGAGAGTCCTGGATTGACTTCTTGTCTGGCAATTGCGGAATATATTGTAAATGATCTACTCAGTAGTACTAATCCTGCGCAATGAATATTAAGCTCCTCGCGAAACAGTTTTTGGTTCCCATGCGTTGATCTTTGGCGCAACCGTGTTATAAGTCTTGAACGCACCACGAGTCCCAGTCAAATTTTCCATCCAGGGCTTTGAAGACGTATGAGTGTTTGGTTTGTATGGATGATAGAGCAGAAGCGCACTGTTTGCCAAGGAGGGGTCAAGTTCTTGATGACAGGGTCATTCGTGGGAGGGTCCTTTCGAATATGGTGGATCCAAGAATGCCACTCAGGAGGAACTTGAGAAGCATGATACTCGTGCTGTCATCGTCTCAACAAGCTGGTCACATAACTCTAACAGAAATAAAATGGACGCACTTGGGCGAAATCAACCCATCGCTGACGACCTACACATCTGAATGAGCAATGTTCATCGAGACTGTTTATGCAATGCACCTGGTATCTCTTCCTCTCCATTCATATTTTCGAAATAGCGGTTCCCAAATCTTCATGCAAAGCAGTTGAATCAGTACAATTTTGAAAACCTGGAGAGGACCTACTGGTCAGTGCCGACATGCACTCCAGACTTGGCATCGCCAATATACTGCATCTGCCTCCACCATTCCCGCAGCCCTACCCGACGCATATTGCGAATTGTACGATGTAAAGAGACCATGACAGTCAATGGTCAAGCTATGTCTGACTGGTGCCGGTGATATATTGCCTCTTTTGGCAGTCGTCGGAGTCCTTTCCGGGATTCAACGTTGAAACGTTCAGCATGCATAGTTAAATAATGCTCAGCCTGTGCATCTTATACGACGTGCTTCATTCTAAGCTAGTTGTAAGCAACTATTACATTATATTCAGAAAGACATCGAGATGAACACGGAAAACAAAAGAGAAACAGAGAACAACGAAGATAATAATGGATAGTTGGAAGAAGACATTTAGTCACACATACAAGAAAGAAATCGAAAGAGACTAGAATCAAGAACTAGATATCCAAATGCGAGTTCGGATGTCAGACCAATGTTCCATCCAGTGGGTGGGCTTAATCAGCGTATAGTACATGCTTGTCCGTTCCATCCATCCATGCTCTCAGCTGATTGTCATCATCCAATGCAACAAAGGCGTTGCTCATGCTGTCACGGAACCTAAGATTACTGACTTCCCCTCCTAATCGCGTCTGCACCTTGTCCATCAGCTCTGAGTGGGTCACAAGCGGATGGACACGTATGGCTATAAGGTCGTCGGCAACACGGTCAAAGATTTTGATCTTGACAAATGCTGTCTGGGGATTGGCTGCTGATATGGGTGGATTGTTGGCATTTGAGTGTGAACGTGCTCTACCTACGGTAGGTGCATTTGTTGAGCGTACAGATGATACTGATGGTGAGGATGCATTGTGAGTCTTGCCAGTCGAATGTCTCAACGAGTATTCACCATCAAGCAGAGGAGATTGACCACGTTCAGGAATGGGTGAGTTCGACCGGGAGTTGGAGGTATATGGTGACGATGTGCGGTTAAAGGATGAAGTAGAGCCATTGCGTTGATGATTCTGAGTGTGAGCATGCAGACGAAGGTTATCGTCAGGCCTTCTTTCATCGACCCGTGCATAAGGATGTCGATCATACGTCCCCTGTGGAGAGGGTGCGTAGCCCTCGTCCTCTCCGTATTCCGAACCTGCGCTTTTTCTGTCATCCTCAACTTTCATCCTTCCAAGAGTGTCCCGAACTTCATCATATTCATCGTCATTGCCATACTGTTCATCATCGTCAGTTGCAAAAAGTGTTTCTATCTCCTGCATCCTCGGTTCAGTTTCACTTTCGACATCGCCAGGTTTCAAGGAGAGAAACTCCCTAACCACTTTGTGTTCCAGGATATACTTGGCCCCGGCTTTGTTGAGGTCGCAAAGACTACGTAGATACTCATCAAGCTCCGATCTGCGGGTCGCGGTGAGTTGATCGTTGACGTTTTCAGCCGGCCCTGGCATGTAGGGCAACATCCGTGGATGTGGAGGCTGTCGACCTGCTTCTCTTGGGAAGGTATCAAGCAATGAGACTTGAAAATCGTAGAAATCGTTATACACTCGGAACAAGATGAGCTGTTTCGCATTTGGCAGTGAATCCTGACCAGGCGGAGGATAAGGTTGAAATATTGCGTTTACTCGAAACCAGTACTCTTCCATTTCATAGTGGAAAGAAACTGCTTCGGCATACAGAAGGATGCCTTCAGGAAGGCAATCGGCACTGTCGGGACCAGAGGATATCGATGGTGTCGACTGCTTGCGGGCGGCAGGATCCTCGATGACGGACAGGTTGGATGAAGGGGGAAGTGGTGGAGGTTGTGCATTAACAAAGGGACTATTCGGCACGGCTGGTGCGTCAATAACTCCTAGAGCAATACTGCTCTGTTTGTAATTAAACATCGCCCGCTTCCAATCCTCAACTTTTGGTAAATCTCCTCGATCCATAAGGGCATTCACATCGGGAACAGCTCTTCCTGTTGATGGATCGTGAATCTCCACGAAGGAGACAGGAATGAGTCCTGGTCGACCCAGCCTTCCGATTGGCTTGGCAACAAACCATTCACGATTAGACTGTGCAACGACAGTAATGGCATCGCCGCGTTTGGCATCAAGCTCATCTGCTCGCTCAGCCTCAAAATCATGCAAGACGATGGCGTAAAACACCTGCGACTTGGTGGGACTTTTGGGTGTCAAAGGAACGTCCGACGAGCGTATCCCGGTGGGAATGCTGATGTTACCAAGACTACTACCTTGAGAGATACGAGAGCTGCGGTTAGGTAAGTTCGGGCTCAGATTGATTGCAGGGAGATGTAGAATACTTACGAAACGGAAGTTTTATTGAACTCTTCAAACATTGCTCTCGGAACAAGCCCCCGTGCGCCTGATATCGGGTTGTGCGCTTCGTACCACGATCCGCGATCGTCGACGTCTCTCAGGACATAAAAGAAGTCTCCCTTTTTGAACGAGAGCTCTTGGGGAGCTTGGGACCGGTAGTCCGCGGTTGCTCTGATTACTTTCTGCGGCGGGGTAACTGCAGAGGCGGGTTTGGAGACGGAAGGTAAAGGGAGTGGTGTAGATATCTGATTTCTGAGTGAGTCTTTAGTTCCATTCAAACTTTTTCGAATGGACTTCATAGCGTTTCGAAGAGAAGAAAAATCGTTGCAAGTCGTGAATGTAAAAGGTGAAGGTTTGAACAAAAGAAAGCTCGGAGGGATCTGATTGTGACGCTTACGTCACGAAGTAACACCATTGTTGCTTTAAATTTAAATTCAATATATGGTACTCACTGAGGGCGCAGCAAAATTTCCCACCCGTGAAAAAAGGGGGGAAATTTTTCGTAAAAAAAGCTGTTTATTGATTCGAAATATTACCCATTATTTGTCCGTAAAGCTATGAATATCCCAACTGATATTTGTCAGTTAATTTTGACCGAAAAAGGATTCCTTTTGCCTTTGATAATAGTATATATTTGCTTTGGCCATAAATAACCTTTGTCGCTCGATATAGATAATCTTTCACACTAGAGATAGATAATCTTTCGCGCCTAGATTAAAATGTCCTTTCACTACCGTCTTTTCTTTCTTTTTACGGTCGCGAAAGTGAATGCCCGGTTTTCCGGAAGCGCTGAGGTTTGATTTGTAAGCACACCAATCCAGAGTGGCCCGAAATAATGTAAATTGACTGGGTCACATTGACCATCAATGCACTGGACCAAGTATCAACTTGTAGATACTGTAGTTGCAGATGCATAAGTAGGGACATCTCACTTTCAAATAGAGTACATTTGAGCGCTTATGTACAAAAAACCGGGCATTCACTTTCGCGACCGTAAAAAGAAAGAAAAGACGGTAGTGAAAGGACATTTTAATCTAGGCGCGAAAGATTATCTATCTCTAGTGTGAAAGATTATCTATATCGAGCGACAAAGGTTATTTATGGCCAAAGCAAATATATACAGTAATATACTATTATCAAAGGCAAAAGGAATCCTTTTTCGGTCAAAATTGACTGACAAATATCAGTTGGGATATTCATAGCTTTACGGACAAATAATGGGTAATATTTCGAATCAATAAACAGCTTTTTTTACGAAAAATTTCCCCCCTTTTTTCACGGGTGGGAAATTTTGCTGCGCCCTCAGTGACTAGCTTGAGGCAGCTTAAGGACTCGGAGACTTAAGGCCTCTGCACCCTCTGTGTCGGCTTAAGCGAGGTTTTTTAAGCCGACAACCTCATATAGGGCCTTAGGTCTAGGTAGATCACCTCAACGGTTATGACTCTAAAGTCTTGGTAGGATGGTTTTGCATGACCTTCAAGTTGTCGCATGTCTTCAGATCTTCTGTAATCCGTTTCGTATACACGTTACATATGGCTGCGTCGTATGCCCGGTCAAATTTGACATAGTTTGACACATCTCTTGATATGGAACTCGAGAGGCAAGGACGTCGACGGGGCAACTTGAGGGGGGAGAGTTGATTTCCAATGATACATCCTGATACAGTACAGGGACATCGTTCAAACTTGAATCGTGCTCATCTCCGCGGTTCCGCCGCCACTTTGAATACTATTCTTGAAGTAAGAGATTCAGCATGATTTAGCCTGCCAATCTACAAAACCTGTATCATATGCTTGCTAGAACAATGGATAATTCTATGATACTTAGCCCCGCAAGCCAGAATTCGCAAAACCTGTATCATATGCTTGCTAGAACAATGGATAATTCTATGATACTTAGCCCCGCAAGCCAGAATTCGCAAAACCTGTATCATATGCTTGCTAGAACAATGGATAATTCTATGATACTTAGCCCCGCAAGCCAGAATTCGCGAGAGTGAAGAAAAATCGTTCACTCATCATTCATGGAAGCTCCACGGCGCTCTGCCATATCTCTTCCGAAACTGGTTTTGCCCATTTGATCCGCCTTCGGCGGAGCGGCCGTTTAAGCCGTCGAGTAATGCCGCTCACCGGCGCTAGCACCAGGCATCTGCTTAGTAATGTCACACCCTGTCCTTCGAGTTGAAAGACAAGGTCCTGCATATTGATATTGAACCACTACATTACTTGCCATGGCGGCAAGAAAACTTCAAAGTGAGGATCCTCTGGCGGTGTTACTTTCGCAGAAACTGACTATCCTGCTTTAGCCGAAATCGACCGAACGTTGAAGAAGGTCGGCGAAGGCGTTGAGTACTTCGAGAGCGTATACGACAAGATGCAGGCTTCTTCGAATCAAACGCAGAAGGAGAAATTGGAACTTGACCTAAAAACACAAATCAAGAAACTTCAGCGAATGCGCGATCAAATCAAAACTTGGTATGCGAGCAATGACATCAAGGATAAGTCTGCACTGGTCGAAAACCGCAAGTTGATCGAGACGGTGAGTGTTTGAGGTGCTTGCATCGCGTGTGCTCTGCTCCGTGACACTGCTAAATGAGTGTCGGACGCGTTCTGTGTTTCTCATGCTCATCTATATCCTCTTTTTAGCAAATGGAGAAGTTCAAAGCTTGCGAAAAGGAGATGAAGACGAAAGCATTCTCCAAAGAAGGTTTGACACAGGCCGCCAAACTTGATCCAAAGGAGCAAGAAAAGGAGGAAATCATGGCATGGCTTCAGACAAAGGTCGAAGAGTTGCAGATGCAGATTGAGCAGGCCGAGGCAGAGATTGAGTCCCTACAGGGTTCAGGCAAGAAGCGGGGTAAATCTTCGAGCACTGCTGGGAGAGCAGAAGAGCTAGAGCATTTGAACGACCGACGGAAGTGGCACATCAGTCGCCTTGAAATTGTTCTTCGGCTGCTGAACAATGGCTCTCTATTCACAGAAAAAGCTGTCGCTCTGAAAGACGACGTTGCCTACTTCGTGGAAAGCAACACGGTATATTCTATACGTATATCACGAAGGAAGCGCTAATGAAATGTATACAGGAGGAGGATTTCGACGAGTATGAAGGAATATATGATGAGCTAAATCTTGATGAGGAAGAAGAGAAATTCCGTGGCTTGGTGCACGATGACGAGGACAGCGACGAATCTGACGATGCGAGCGAAGGTGCGTTCATTTGTTCAATCTCAGTAAATCACTTACCGAGTGTTTATCACAGATCTACCTCCCCGGACACCCAACAAGAAACATGATGATGAGAGCACAACAAGTAGTCGGCATGGTAGTAGTCCAATATTGAAGAAAGCGACGACTACACTGAGAAGTGCGTTCCTCATTTTCTTATGACATTTTTTCCTGACCTCACTGTACATTACAGAGGGTTCTGTCGATGGTAACGTTGCATTTTCCGGGTATGCAACACAAGTTTTACTCTATCTTCAGCCAAAGCACAACCAATAACCAACATTCTCAAAACAACTGTTCCCCATCCTGCTCCAGTGCTAGCGGCACCACCACCACGACCTGCAGTGACGTTGCCTCCTATACGGTATGCAGCTGCAGCCGCGGCAGCGATTGCACCAGTACCAACGCCTCCTTCTGCAACTAAAGCGGCTGCGTCAACAAACTCTGGGCCTAATGCAACACCAGCATTCTCAATACCAACATCCTCCTCACAAGCGTCTCAAGATCAGGTATCGGTCGTTCCATCGTCCCCGAGTTTGACCCACCCTTCGGTCACAAGCCCAATGCTTTCCTCTGCGGCATCGGTATCGCAACAGTTTGACGGCTCGTTCTATTCCAGCCAAGAGTCGCCGGCAATGTCTGAAGCTGTAATAAGCTCCGTAGGTGCTCCCGTAGCAACATCGTCTCCACATCGTGCATCTATCGCACGGAAAGGTTTGCTAGTAATCTTGCTTCTCACCATAATCTGCTCATTGCTTTAAGATTCAATATCATCTCCCTCGAAAGCTGCGAATACTGTACGTGTTGGAACTTGTTTGATCATCTTACTCCACACTCACTGACTCATATATTCACGTAGACAATGGATGCACCTCCGCCATCACAATCCCAAACGAACGGGGCTCTCCAAGCATCAGCTCTTAATCCTTCCCCGCTCCCCCAACAACTACAGCAATATTCAGGTGTCCCTGCGCCAAGCTCACCGGCACCGCAATCAGCACAAGCACCCCAATTTCCACCTGGAGTCAAAGTTGCTGTCAACGAACAGTCGCTACTAGTACCACAGCAGAATGTCCCGACTGCAAGACCGCCGTCAGTCGCACAACAAGCCCCTCGGGCTGTTCCTGGTTCATTGTCAGATCTTGTGGTATCTTTTGAGAACGCAAAACAGAAGGGTTTGTTTTATCATCGGTCATTTCAGTTTTCATTTTCATTGTTGTTTAGCTGTACATCGCATGAACAACTTGGACCAAGTGCATAAATTACTCGAAGGGGGCCTGTCAAATCTGCCTCAGCCTCAAGATACGGAAAGGTGATCTCAGTTCAGGTTTTTCCAACTACGATAATTAACTGCTCCCTTCTTCAGGCCGAAGTATTATGTTCCGCGGAATCCATTCAACACGCCCTCGTATTACCCTCAAATGCCTAATCCTTTATTAAACACACCTGCGATATTCGCTCAGCTAGACGTCGAAACACTCTTCTATGTGTTTTATTATCTTCCAGGAACATATCAACAGTGAGTTTTTGCACGTTCCCTCGTTTATGGATCCAATTTACTGTTTGTCTGTCTGTAGGTTCCTTGCCGCCAAGGAACTCAAGCGTCAATCATGGCGATTTCATGTCAAATACCTGACGTGGTTTCAACGGCACTCTGAACCACAGGCCATAACAGAAGAGTATGAACAGGGTGTATATGTCTATTTTGATTGGGAAGGCTCTTGGTGCCAGCGGAAAAAGGCCGATTTCCGCTTCGAATACAGATATCTGTCAGAAGACTAGGCCTTTCATTCAAGATTCATTTTGCTCAGTACACGATTATTATTTTTCTCCACATTACTTCTTCCCCGAATCTCAACGGGCTTGTGTAGTTGTACGCGATAGGCAGTATAGTACATTCGGACTACTCAATGACAATCGAAGTCGAAAGTCCTGAAAGACTTGATGCATATATATGTATCCATATATTAATTACTCTAGTTTGACAACTGCTCCAAGAGCTTCGAAGGCCTTTTGCATCTTTTCCGCATCTTCTTTGGGCATATTTTCCTTCAAAATTTGAGGTAAAGATTCTACAAACTTCTTGGCCTGTGCAGACGAACATAATATTTGAGTAAACGGACTACGCGCAGGGAAGAAAATGACCGACGTCGATAAGAGTAAGAGTAGGGTTCATGGCCTTGACCTCACGGATAACCTTTGGTTTGGAGGTGGCATCGAATGACTCTAATTTTACGTTGAAGACGGTCTTTTCTTTCGGTACCTCCTGAATATGATGAGTAGGTTTCAGTTGTGGATGTATATAAAGCAATTGTTGTACGCACAACAGCAGGTTCATCCGCTGGGGCAGCAGCAGCAGCAGCAGGAACCGCGGAAGCGGGCATGGTAATTTCTTGAATATTAAGTCTAGACTATGAACACAAGTTAGGAACGGGTAATTCACATGACAACATGGCACGCACTTTTAAGAGAGATACAAGGTCTGCGGCTTGCAGCAATGTCAGCGTTGATATATCGTCCACAATACGGTTTATAGTAGCATCTGGTGACTTCGCTAGAGGAGGCGGAGAGGAAGGGTTAGTTTTGGCTGTTGTTGCGGCGGCGGTAGCCATTCGCCTGGATAGCGGAACTGCTGTCCTTGATGATCTATTAATGCAGGTCAACAGAACAGTAGTTAGGAAGGGAAGGGAAAATGACTTGCGAAGCAAAAGCCGCGGACCGAGTAAATGAGCGAAGGGCACCAGAGCAGCGAGACTAATATATCACAATCAGTAGCTGAGTAGAACTACTAGAGAGCACGTACAACCATGTTGTTGAGAAACAAACTAGATGAAACTTTGAAAGTTCGCGTCAAAAGCTGAAGTATTAGTAAGCTAGATTTTGGGCGTCTAAAACGGTTACTTCCATGTCGGGACCACAACCTTTAACTTCTGATGATCTCCAAGCAAAATTGGACTCCTTTGATTCGATCCCTCTGTTTATGAGATCGCTCCCTGATGATCATCCAGTCGAAAATTCTACCCTGGCAGCTTTGCAGAGTCTCGCACACGAAGGAACACCGGATGGTCAGTTTGATTACCACTTTTCGTCTACTAGATATTCTATATAGATACAGAAATTGCGGAAAATTTCAAGGAGCAAGGGAATGACTACTTCAAAGGGAAACGATACCGTGATGCAATTGGATTTTACACGCAAGGAATAGACGCGAAACCCGACAACTCTTCTCTGTTGGAGGCTCTGCTGTGTAATCGTGCAGCATGCAACTTGGCGCTCAGTGGGCATTCCTGTCGCAATATATCCTTTTCATGCAGCTGACTTCGATTATCAAGAGAATTACGGGTCTGTCCTGCGGGACTGCTCAAAAGCTCTTAGCCTAAACCCCAAGTCATTAAAAGCGTATTATCGATCAGCGATGGCTCTCGTGGCTTTAGACAGACTGGAAGAAGCGATTGATTGCTGTACTCGCTGCCTTGAGTTTGACAAAGACAACAAGGGCGTACTGGGTGTCCTGGAACACGCTGCAAAGTCAAAAGCGACAAAAGACAAGGTGGACCTGGAACGGAAGGAGAAACTCCGACAAGAACTTCTGGCAAAGGCGAAATTAGATAATGCCTTCAAGGTGGGGATTTTACCTCGAAATCACGACGGCTCCTTATTGATCTAATTGAAGGAGCGAAATATATTCGTTCTACCCAAAGCAGATGGGTCTCAAAACCCTTATGTCCCCCGTTTCGATCCCGAAGATTTTTCTGGGAACACTCTTATCTTTCCTGTCTTTTTTCTCTATCCACAATACGCCACTTCGGATGTCATACCAGGGTACGTTGAGGACACACCGTTCTTTACACACCTGGAAATCATGTTCAATCCGGCCCCCGAATGGGACACAAAGCGTCAATACAAGGCTGAGAACCTCGTGGTGTACGCGATTACGCGACGGAAGCGATTATTGAAGGTAGGGAAGAAAATGTCGTTGAGGAATGTCTTCAATGCATCAAAGGGGAAAGAGGGCGATCCTCCGGATGGTCTAGAATTGAAGGACAACTGTCTTACCTTCGTAGTTCTTCCCAAGGGAGAGGTGGATATAAAGTGGGTAGAGGAATTCAAAGCGACCCGATAAGACTCTAAACTCATGTATTTACTCACATGGAAACGACGTACTAATAGTAACATTGTACGCTGTGATGTAAGCGCCCTGGCGTCTAACTTGACTAGCGCTTAATTTTTTCGCATGTGTGATCGTTGAATCAATCTGAATCCGATTCACCCGCTGCTACCCAAAAACTTATTCAGGTCGTATCAAGCCATCTGGTAAGTTCACCGTTGTATCAATCTATGAGAAGACTGCTGTAGGTCTTCTGGAGGAGTTGTGAAGAGGAAGGTTTGCTAGGTTTGGCGGAAGAGGCTGGATTGGATGTTGAGGAAATGGATGTACAGTTTGGAACTCAGAATGTTGATTCGGAATCTTGTTTCATTAGGGCCCCTCAAGATGTCCGTCAACCACAAGATTCTCCGTACTGCCAACGCTCCCCCAACGCCCCCAGATGAGATGGAAATCAGCGTCGCTCAGGCCATTATCGACCTCGAGAATAACGTTCCCGACCTGAAGACTGACCTTCGGCCTCTGCAAATCTCCGCTGCCCGTGAAGTCGATGTTCGAGGTGGTAAAAAGGCCATCGTAATCTTCGTTCCGGTTCCCCAGTTGAAAGCCTTCCACAAAGTGCAGCAGAGGTGCGCGGTTGTTTCAGCACTAGTGCTTGGTGTACTATTCCTTATTGTAACCGGATTTGGCAGGCTCACTCGTGAACTGGAGAAGAAATTCTCCGACCGACACGTCGTTTTCGTTGCTCAGCGCAGGATGCTGCGCAAGCCTACCCGTAACTCTCGGGTCCAGCAAAAGCGACCTCGCAGCCGTACACTGACTAATGTCCATGAAAAGATCCTTGAAGATCTCGTTTTCCCCACTGAGATTGTTGGAAAGCGCACCCGTGTCGCTGTTGACGGTTCCAAACTGCTAAAAGTGTATGTTTCATGTTCTTAGCTCCTATCCGGTTTTCACTAACGGTTGTGGTAATGCACAGCTTCCTTGACTCCAAGGATGCAAATGTATTGGAGTACAAACTTGACTCGTTCTCATCGGTGTATCGCCGTCTGACAGGAAAGGATGTTGTCTTCGAGTTCCCTGTGGTCGTACAGGAGTAGGATAATTATGTTGGTGGATAATGATTACCATATGATATGCACTTCTCCACAATACACATATAAGGCATGCATTCTACGCTGACAATGGATAAGTTTCATCTAAATACTTGTAAAAGCAACTTTTCAAGCACGACCGAAACTTAATTCCGAGCTTGTATCACGTGCAGTTGCCGAGCTAGATCGGCACCTGCTTTAACTGTTCTTGGACCTTAGCTGTGTTCTCGTCTTTCCTTTATCCTTCAGCCCTCGCGGCCTCTGGGCCTCTTTCTTATTCCCTTTTCTTGTGCTCTCTTGTGCTCATACCTTTTTACTCCTCCGCGTCAAATTCCGCTGGTGCCCCGCCCACTTCGTTAAGCGGGTTTACGATGACTTATTATCAGGACATGTCTCGGTCCAGATACGACCAAGGTGTAGATAGCAAGATCGTTATCATGGGCAATTCTGGTGTGTATCTATCATTTAACTTTCAAGCCTAGATATAACTCATGACCTTCCCTAGGCGTTGGAAAGACGAGCTTGTTACACCGATATACCCAAAACAAGTTCGATCCCAAGAATACCACATCGACCAGCGGGGCATTTTTTGTGACGAAGAAGGTCTATGTCAAGGGCCTCAAGGTCCGCTTACAACTCTGGGATACTGCCGGCCAAGAAAGGTTTCGTAGTATGGTGAGTTTCTCTAACAAACGCGTAGTGTCACCGCTTCTGAATCTCGGTTTCCTTCAGGCTCCCATGTATTATCGAGGTTTGTCAAGCGGGAACTGCGGGGCTATCTCTGTAACTAACATCGTAATTACTTAGGCGCGAATGCGGCTCTTGTTCTGTACGACATCACCAATGCTTCAACGTTTGAAGATGTAAGGGGTTGGTTAGAAGGTGCGCGTGACTCTTCGGTTCTTCTTTCACTTCCTAATGTCCAACTATCAGAACTTAAGAAAAATTGCCCGCCGGAGCTGATAATATACATTGTTGGATCCAAGGCGGATTTACACCGACATAGACAGGTGTCGCCTGATTTCGCAAGACTTTCACTACATAACTGGTTTCCGCCTCCACGGCCAGCTACTCCCCCTCCTCCCCCTCCACAACCTTCTACTCTTTCCTACATTAGACCGCGATTCACTTCATTTCCGGGCCTTCGCTCACCACCTGTCAGTCCAGCTGCTTCCTCACCGCCGATGGACACGTTACCATACCTGGATCCTCCATCCAGAGGCTCAGGGCTAAACCGCAGCAAGTCCGCTGCTCCGGCACGATCGCGACATAATGCCCCTACCCCTCTGATGCGCTCAAATACCACCGGTGTGCAATCGCAATATGGCTCTCATTTTGGTTTTCAAAATGGGGGATATAATGAACTACACGACTCGTGTAGTAATAGTATTGAAGAGGAGGAGGAGGGCCAGCAGGATGAGCAGGAATGGGGTTTGACCAAAGAGATGGAGCTCTTTGAAGTCTCCGCCAAGGATGACCTCGGTGAGTCCCCGATTATTCCTCACTGACATTCAGTTTGCTTATAGACTTGACTATGTACACCCCTCTCCACAGGTATATATACGTTATTCGACCATCTAATTACTGCTATCATTCAGCGAAAGGATGTGATCGAAAAGGAGAATGAGATGAAGAAGCGGGACAGTGTTTTCCTGTCATCTGTTGCCACACCAACATGGTCTGCCCAAGCAGAGGAAGAGGAAGCACGCCAGAAAGCCAAGAATTCTTCCACTGGGTGGAGCTGTTGTTGAATATTTCTTCGCGCCGGCCGCCCTTCGCCCTCTTTTCCAGTCATTCATACAGTCGCTCGTTATGTTTCTTCCTCCGTCAATTATCACAGTACTTATGGGTGTGTACTTATCTACGTTTGACCACCATCTCGTCTCGGTCTTTGCATCTATTCACACTAGTAACTGCTATCTGTGTTGCTTCCTTGTCTGCTCAGCCTCGCCTCGGTTTTCTTTTACTCTCTTTCAATCCCTCATCTCATGACATGCACATTCATATCACATTATTTTTCACCCTGGCATTGCTTTCCCTCTACTTTCTTTACTTCCAAATTAGCTTACCTTATAGCGTACAATTCTGTACATACATGTCCTGTGATATACGGGAATTTCAAACTTCCACTCGAAGTATTGTGCTTGCGCCACTGATGGCGTGTCGTGATCATGAAATGGCTTATCTGAGTCTCCTCGCTTCTACTACTACATCCATTCCACAGGCTTCCACCCATGTCCCTCGTACATCCAGATCCAGCTGTCGACAGACCCGACTTTGTAGAGTCTGAAGTATGCACAGCTGAACATTGTTTTCA